CTCTCCGCGTTCTTTCCGTATGAGCTGGGATTTAATAAGAATCCGTGGCCTTCCTCTCAGTCGCCGCACGTGGGCCCGCTTCCAGTCCAGCGGTTAACGGTCTGCCCTGCATATCCAAAACCGTCCACTACGCCGCCGCAAAGTAACGGCACATCCGCAACGGCGAGCGGAAAACTTATCCAGCATCGCATGATAGAGAACATGGAATCGTGAGGCCGCCCACCAGGCCACGGAGGACGAGCAGCCTTGCCGCAACTGCGCAGCATCCTAGGAAGGTGAAACCGTGCCCATTACGCCTGGGTCCGAGGTCAGGTCAGAAAGTCCAAACGCGAGTCTCGCCGCCGGCCCGACGAATTATTGTCCAGGGTAACGCCACGGGCAAAGCCGGAGGTAACATCGGAAGAAAACTGGAGGTAACAACGGATGCGACGCCACGGGCAACGCCTGAGGGATAACACTGAAGGTAACGCCCGGAGGTAACGCCCGAGGTAACGGTAGACCGCTGAGCCGCGTCACGGCCGGGACCGACGCCGCCGTATACCGGTACGCCAGACGGCAGCGTCCCGGCCGTAGCGGTCCCGAATCGACCCCAATTAGGAGACGGCGACCCGAACCGAGCCGCACAGCGCCGGTCGCTCCAAAGTTCGGTCACGTAGGGCGCAGATTAAACTAGAGGAGCGAGAAAGCGCCGGTCACGTGGGGAAGCCGAAATGGGAGAGAGGACCAGCGGGGACGAGAGACGGCTAGAAAACGGGAGAAACGGTTCGAAGTGAGGAGGGTGATGGGGCATTCAGGGAGTTACCTATCCACTACCATCTAAACGTAAAACCGGGAAATGTCCGTCTCCGGGGCATGCCTTATCTGATAACTTCCACGTCAACAGAATACAGTTTGTTCACTATTAGGTATAATGCGATATTAGGACGAGATTGGGACATTTGTTACTCGTGATCATGAGTAAGCTGCCTAGCAGCCTCAAGTGGCACAACATCGCTGTTTTTTCGTAACAGGACAGACAGGATCCAGACCAGAAATGCCGACTGACATATGATTACATACGACAAACACCCAATGAGCTGCATCTGGTTCAGACAAGGTCACGGTGAGCTAACCGCAGACTGGCTGCACCGATCAGTAGAGCGACCCGAGGTCAACACACCTCAGCAGCGCCACAACAAACGAAAGCGAGCGGGACGACGAGAGGCGGGCGGCTCTCTCCCGAGTCAATGACCTTCACGGCTGCCGGCGCGGCGGCGGGCGGGTGCCGCCATGGGTTCCGCGCCGCGCCGGGTCTGTTCATAACGCGAGCGGTGACCCCGCCGCCCAGACACCCCTCCCCTCCCCTAGGGCAGGAGACTGGGCCGTGCAGCGCTCCGGGCCGAGACAAAACAAGGAGACGTTCTACGACCGGTCAGCAATCCGGTAACTGGTTCTACCTGCTTACCCGGTCGGCCAAGCCTCCGGAGACGGGCAATCGTTCCATACATAGAACGAGGCGGTCCTTTAAACCATCCCAAGGACATCCATCTATTTTGCATCTCTTTTCAAATGCGCGTTGACTTCATCAACAGTCCCTATATACAGTACCTACTGTTGTTGGCTCTTGCGTCGATCAATTGGAGTTCCACCAGGAACGTATATTTCGTTAGTCACAGGTGAGCAAGATATCCTTATGTCCCATATGACTTCTACGGAAAGCTAGATAGGCTTAATGGGACGCTAATCGATATATTCTCATGACATGGTAATAAATAGACTTCAGAGACACACGTTCTTCAGAAAAATGATTAGTGATTATTGGCCGCACACCGCAACTGGCCGAATTCATTACCTAATGGCATTGATTACTGCTCAGGGTAATTTCTTGGGACAATATCTAGATGTCCCGGATTCCCCCCTCCCCCCCCCCCAAAAAAAAAAAATCCACATATCCATGGAATTCACAAATTCGCTCTCACATCGGCATTTCACCAAATATGTCGGTACGAACATTTTTAAACCACACGAATCCCGCGTGACTTGTGAGAGTACAGAGCAGGTCGGAGCGAGGTTAGGTCATCGTACGACCCCTCCCCATAGTCGGTCAGGTCAAGGGTCTTCCAGGTCATCCGTTCGTACGGTAAAACCCGCCGCTGAGCTCCTGAATTTCAAAAGTTCGAGCGAAAATCGGCATGACCTTAGATTAAATGGCTTTGTCGGGATCCAATAATTAAAATCGCATCATAGAAACCATTTCCAATATAAATAATTATACGTATTTGCTTGGCGATATGGAGCACCTACCTACCTATCGGTGTAATTCGAATGATGGGTAAACGCGATTTCGTTTGGTTCCAATGCGATTACCGCCCCATTCTGCTGAATCACCCTTCACTTGTCCGATAAATCCCTCCTTCACCGCTGCTCACGTGCAGTGAGGTCTATAGGTCGGATTATATTGCACTCCCTGTGTACACTAAAGTACCTCTCACACGTCACTAGTGCGGATTTCTGCATCGCGTGACTCGACCAGCCGGCCCTCAATAGACACTGATGTGTTAATCGGGAACAATGCCGGCCTTGAATAAACGAGATATCCGAGGTGCCGTGTAGACGGACAAGATACGGATAATTACAATCGTATACAACTATACAGTATACTGAAAAAGACAACCAACAAAATTGAACGCCTATTTCTTTCGCTTCAGTATAAAACGCTTTGAATCATACAACAACTAATGCCTGCCTCACCGACCAACCTAAAAATATCTAGGTACGAGTAATCTAAACAGCACGAATGGGACTAGGGTGATACCTACACATAGCAGTGTCCGTTTCAAGCCTATGCTCACGCAGCCCGAGATAAAATCGTATCGTTCAACACATTGTCAACGACTGTAACTAAAAAGGCATTAAAGGCATTATAATCAGGTAAGCACATGGCGACTTTGATAGCCGAATGCTGTACATTTCTACTACTACCTGATCTGATAAGCATGACTGTATTTAGCACCATAATCTAGGCATTATAACTGTGAGCATAACTGACAAGTCATGCTTACGACAAGACATATATCATGCCTGTCGAATATTCTCCTATAGCAGGGATTTACGGATTTACCCATTAATCACTTCAGTAATAGAAGGAACTTTTTTTGGTAAAATGAAGGTCAATGTTCCGCTATCGACAACATTTCGCTATTGTTTGGGTACTGAATCATGCATAGTTAAATATTCCATTGAAGTCTTGCAAGGACGGTGCTGCACCAGCGCACAGTTGATGATGAATAACTAAATCTAGACTGCAAGTTATATGATCTGGTGTCAGTTATTGAGCCACAATAGTCAATACTAATGTGAGGTCCACGGCAACTGACCGACCGGGGAATACAGCAAAAAGACCCAAAATATACGGTTATGAAACAGCAGCGGGGATCCTGGAAGCTGTCAGAACGGGGCGGTATTTCACACCCACACTGGCAGTCGGCCGGCCCCAACCCCCACCGATGCCGGCTGGCTGGCCTTGAACCGCGCACACAGCGTCCAGAAAAACAGCCTGTGCAGGCGGCGGCGGCCGGCGGCCAGTGCCCGGTGCGCGCACTTGCGTAACGCTCCCGATCGCACGGAGGCGGGGCCGGCCGGGCATCGTCCGCGGCGCTGTGCAGGGCGGAAACGCGGCCCGTCAGGCTGAGGTGGACCAATTTAGGGGCCGTAACGCTGAGACTGAGCGCGGACCGTCTCGAGCGGCGCTCACCAGCCGCTGCTGTACGGCCGGCCGTGTGTTCGGCGAGCTCGTAAAGCCGCTGTGCACCCAGCAGCGCTCACCACAGCGCGGTCATAACGGATGTGCAGGCACGGAGCACACGGCATAATGAGAACAATAATAACACCTCTTCTGGGTAAATAAAGTCGATAAAGAGGGGAGCTTACCAGTCAACAGTGAGCGAGTCAAATAATAGGGCACAGCCATAAAAGGTAAAAAATCACACAAAGGCTTGAAAAATGCATCCGTTTCTTTTATGTTGCGAGTCTCATTTTTGCAAGTGGAGCATAAACGGTTACGATTAATAAAAATTGAAAAGGTGCCTTCTGTTCAGCCGATCCTATTCCCATGACATAAAATCAACTTGCAGTCAGAAGACTGCAAACGAATCTAAGAACATCATTAAAGACCGTTTAAATTCCAGATATGAAAGAATGAAGGAACTGCAACATGCACCTTTCATTATGCTCCTTGGATCAGGAAATAACTTGGTAAACGATACTCGTGTCCCACACGGACCGGATATTCACAGGTTCCGCTAATGGACAGCCCCCGAAGCGCACCGGAAGTCCAGCATAAGCGTGCACAGTGAACACGTCTTCAATGACCATCTATGGCAGCGAGGAGGCGGTCATTACCCGTCTAGTACCGCTCCGCTGCACTGCCCGAGGAAATGTTGACACAGGGACCTGATCGATGACCCACTATCGTCCCATGGATCCCGCGTCGGGCCGGCCCACAGCCGGGCGCTACCCCTCCCCTCCCTCCCCCCCCCCGCTTCCGCAGCGCTCGCGGCTCGGTCGGTCCACTGTGCCGCGGTAGCGCGTGGAAGTCGGAGAGATAGGAACCGTGACAAGGTACTCGAGATAGTGACTCGTGAGGGAATCTGATCTCAGTCTATCAGCCGTATATCCGTCTATCTATAACCGCTGAAAGTTTCTACGGCCTGTTGGTGAAAGGTCGGGGAATGGCCGATATAATGGCAGCTGGGGAGAATGTGAAGGAAAAAACTAACGGACGAATCCGGTATCACTGGAAGCATGTCGTGGCCTGACCGAGGCAGTCGGATTACAAAGAACGAGTGTCAAACTGGCACACCTCACCGATCATCGCATGGAAAGGCATACTGATACGCCATACTAATACCGGATAACAAAAACACAGCTGCGGTTGAAGCAGAGGGAAGAGCAAGGGAGCGCTCAAGATGGCTCCAGCTCCCTCGGGTTCCGTCTCTGCCGTCAGCACGAGGTCAACGTACCTGAGAGCGAGGCGATGCTCCGTATCCACAGTCGTAAACGGCACCGCGTCCAACGCCACTGCACAGACGGCACGGACTGGCCCACCTCACGGACACGCCCCCGCCTTCTCACAGCTCTCTCACCGCCCGGCGGACACGCGCACGCACTCTCTCGCGGCGCGCGGCAGTGGCGGCGGCGCTCGGCGCAGCGGGCCGGCCGGCGGCACCTCCTCCCCTCCACTGGCGACCGGCCGCCGGGCCCGCCGGCTCGCGCCGCCCGTGCTGCCGCGGCGCACCGGACGAGTCCACTCGGCGGCGGGGGAGGCGCCCCGACACGCACCCGACTCGCCGGCCGAGGCCGTGGGGGAGGGGAGCGGGGGGCGGCCTCGCACCAGCAGACGGCCTCGAGGCGCGGCTGTCTGTCGCCTTCGTCGTCGAGCCGCTCTGCTGGGAAACGATTTAGCTCATTGACTTCGATTTTTGGCTATGGTTAAAAGCACGGAATCTTGGGCAATTGCTGGCTGGACATCACCGTTTGCATGGTAGTGAGTACCGACTACCGAATACCGGGTTCGGGAACGGAGAGGTAAGCATTATCGGCACTCTGATACCTACACTTGAGACAGACCATAAAATAAAACCTTGTTTCGAAAATGCTCCCAGTTCCATTGTCAAACAAGCATAGCATTAGCATCCAACCAATATTATAATTGCCAGGAAACTTTTTCAGTTGCATAAGGCAATCAGTGGCCAAAAGCCACGGATGGGTGCCTTGAGTCTTTCACAGGAGCAATTCATTTTGTTAGCTGAAAATACAGGTAATTATCAACACTGGAATTTGGAGGAATGGGCAAATGGTCAACCGGCTGGCAAGCATAAATACGTTCAAAAGTAGTTGAAAAGGAGGATAGCTAGACCGCATATCCACCATCGGCATCGCGTTTATCACGTTGCGTTGAATGCTGATAAATATCCACCGGACCGAGGCAGCACCTGACCGGACCATTATCAACAAATTGTGATAAGGTGCTGCCACCTGTGGGGTATACTTTTTATAGGTGTCGCTAAGAGACATTTCAGCACTGGATAACTTTTCTCGGCTGAAGGGAAATGGCAGCAGAAAGTGCTTCCAAACTACGATGCATTTACGACGCAAGTGAGACAAGCCTGGTGTGAGCGAAATGTGCATTGTTTGGAGAGATGTAACGAAGCATCAAGTAAGTAGTGTTGCATTTTATTTTTATTCGATTCCCAGGCATGCACCCAGACTTGTTTCCATAATCGAAGTTGATTCCCTTATCCCTTGGAAGTTGGAAACGCATGGTAATTTAGGCTAATTTGGTGGGGGAAATTTAGGCTAATTTCAAATTTAATCAATCTTTTACTAACTAATATCTTGATCTTACAGGTTAGGGGGAGCATTGTGTTCTAGCTCCTAGGCATAAGTTGAAGTTCATTGTTGGAACCCAACCAGGTAAGCCTTCACACTCAGCCATCCCGTGGAAATTATTCCCATCCAGGGCTGATTCCTGGCAAATTCGCACATCGGAATTAGGTTCATGTTTTCTGGCAACTTCAGTAAATGTGACAGTCTTCGACATGCTTTTGTATTATGCATACTAAGCCATGTGGTGTATTTCTCTTTCAGATGGTGTACTCATCTCATATCTATGCTAGAATTTCCTATGACAGAACAATTCAAGATGGAAGACTTTGCTAATGGATGGTTTGCTCATCACTTCACCTTCCTAGACACCAATAACACAGGTGAATTATCAAACAATGCCACACAGTTTCCCTATCCTTCAACCCCATGGTGGCCGAGCACCAGCAATAGCTCACACCTTCACCAGGAGCCAGATCCACGTTTTCACAACTCTGGGCACCCATCCGACCACTCAGCGTCATCAGACGGCGATGCTGGCTCAGTACGATCCGCCGACGGCAGTCTGTCGGACGTCGGCCCTGTGGAGGAGACACCACCGGACCGGGAGGCACGTGCCGGCTACCTCCGCCTCCTCCTCGCCACCGAGAGTCACCGTCGCGAGCTGCAGCGGCGCCGGCGGGCCGAGCGAGCGCCGCCGCCCGTCCACCTGTCAGCCGACACGGAGCGCCTGCGGCAGCGGCAGATGCAGCAGCTGTACGGCGCGGCGGCCGAGCGGGTGTCCGCCGCGGAGACCCGGGCACAGCTCGAGTTTGACACCATCACCGACCGACACCGGCCGCCGCTGTGGCCCAACATCCCGCTCCGTATCCGGTTTGAGTGATCGACTTGGGAGGAGGTGGTGACAGACAGTGGTTGCACGAGCTATGAGGGAACTCAGAGTGAGTGAGAATCCGCTGACGGGTGATTGTTAAAAGTTACCGTATACCAGCAGAGCTGTGTGCCCTTTCTGTGAGATGCGCGAATCTATCCAGTGCTGACTGAAGACGTGACAGATTCTAGTGCACAGCATGAGAAGGAGGGTTGTTTTGACTGTCACGGGCTGACACTCTTAAGTCAAACAACCTTGGACGTTCCCGCAGTGAGAAAACCATAATCTAAGTCACAATCTAACGATACAGTCACTGATATCCCATTTCCGTGCGTCTCGATTTGAAATGCCATCTGGTGGCCCGCTTCGAGCCAGCTGCCTATTGGACGTCCGCTTGGTGGCGTTCCGATCAAGCCTAAAAACTACCATTCCGACCGTAAAGTTTGCCGTAATGACTAGCCAGGCTATGATCGCACGTTGTGATGACATGGCTACTGTGCATTTATCTGACACTTGTTAAACTGTTGTTGGTTAGATTGGCAGAAGGATTGTCGTTGAGTGACCGAATCATACCGACTCTGCGTTGATGCGATTTGTGGCGCTACTCTGCTCAAATCACGTCATTCGGAGTGCCCCGTCATTATGAGAGCGCTGTGGCTGTCGAGTCTGACGATTGTCGAGCGTGGTGACCTGACGTTTGTGTTTCCTGCTCCAGATAAGACTGGTAAAACCGCTTACCGAAGAGATGCTTACCGAAGAGATAGGAGTAGGAGGCATGGGAGCGGATGGCTCATGAGGGTTGCCTCCTCTCATTGTTAGTTAGCATGTACTTGTCGAATCTTCTCTTGAATTGATTGACGTTCTCACTTTGTATGACAGTTTCAGGCAGGCAGTTCCACTTGTCGACAACTCTAGATGGGAAGAACTCGTTACGTTTTTGTGTTCTGTGTCTTGGCTTAATTAGCTTCATACTGTGTCCCCTTGTTCCTTGCTGTCCATGATCCAGGACCAGAAATGCACAGTCTGTTTTGATTCGGTCAAAGCCTTTGAGTATTTTGAATGTTTGAATCATGTCGCCTCTAGTTCTTCTCTTTTCCAGTGTGGTTAAGCCAAGTCTTTGGAGCCGCTCTTCGTATGGCAGATGAGACAGTGATGAGACAAGTTTTGTGGCCCTCCTTTGCACCTTCTCCAGCTTCACGATATCTTTCTTGAGGTAGGGGGACCATGCTTGAATTGCAAATTCCATCCGTGGTCTTATAAGTGCCTTGTATAGCGGCAGGAGGGTTTCTTCACTGAGACATGTTAGGGTGTTCTTGATACGGCCTAGCATAGAGTTTGCTGCTGCTGCTGCTCTGGCGACTTGCATGGCAGGTTTCAGGTCAGTGGTTATTAGTACCCCAAGGTCTTTTTCTTGCTCCGAGTGTGCCAGTTGGGCTCCTCCCATTCTGTATGAGTATTTGGGATTCCTTTTGCCTATGTTCAGTACAGTACATTTCTTCTCATTAAATTTAAGAAGCCACCTGTTGCTCCACTCCTGTAGCTTGTCGAGATCTGCTTGCAGTCGCTGCCTGTCTTCTGGACACTTGATGCGTCGAAAGATCTTTGCATCGTCTGCAAAGAGCTTCCCTCCTGACTGGAGTCCATCCAGCAGATCATTTATATAGATGAGGAACAAAGTCGGTCCCAAAACACTGCCTTGGGGCACGCCACTCCTGACCTTCCTCCAGCTAGATCGTGTTCCTTTAATGCATACCCGTTGCTCACGGTTTGTTAGAAAAGATCGAATCCAGTGTGCTAGTGGGCCCTCAATGCCAGCTGCCCAGAGCTTCGCTAGAAGATGGTCGTGCGGCACCGAGTCAAATGCTTTGGCACAGTCTAAGTACACGGAGTCAACGCTGTCTCCATCATCCATCGCATTCTCTAGCTCACACAGATACTCCAAGAGCTGTGTTAAACACGACATCCCAGATCGAAAGCCATGCTGATGGATGCTGAGGAGACCAGACTCTTCAAGATGGCTGATTAGGCGCTGATAACGTCTTTGAGTGTCGTCTCTTTGTATGTATCGGTGTGGTCTGTATCTCTGACCGTAACCTTTTTGGAATTACGCATTACGTTGGTGACTTTAGCTTGCTTCCATTAGCCAAGACCACTTTGCATTGGGTCGTATTGTTCTTTTTCTGTTATTGCAGACGTTTTTGATGTTTTTATATTGTTTCGCCTCACTGATTTGAATGAGAAACTGTCGATGTGTCGATGTGCAAATAAGTGGCATTGCAGAAGGTTCCTGGTCCCAGACGACTGTCTGAGATACTTCGAGTAAGATTTCCTTCGCTATGTAAACTTACCGCCTCACTTATCGGGCGAAAACAGGCATTCGGCGTTGCACATTCGCGTTCGCTGGAACGAATGTGCTGTGTTATCTTTTATTTTGCTATGGCTCATCTATGAACGCATTTGTACCCCCAAAAGCCCTAGAAAACTGCCCTAGCACAGTTAGTTATCCTTTTTCGAGTGCTCGCCTTTCATCTGGTGCCTTGTAATGTGTTACACTGTTTGAACTGTTAACTTAATCGGCAAACAAGAAAATGTTATTTTACACTAATGCAATGAGTCATTTGCAGCGCATTATGTTTTCCTTGTCATGATGAAACATGGAAAATAGAGAAATATGCGCTTTAAAGCAAGGTATTTGTGAGACCTACGCAGTTTCGTGTCTCGTCGTTTCATCGACTGTTGCCGGACATACCGCCGGAATGAAACTGAAGGTCGTTGTGTTGCTACGCCTTGCAACCGGGCTCACGACTTCGGCAACAACCCTCGACTCCAAACCAAGTCTCGATGAATAACACATGTTTTCGGCGTGGCGCGATCTCGTCAGACGTGCATACTAAGCATCGGGGGGCCTCACGTGAACCCGACATAAACAGCGGGCTGTGGGCCCGGCTGATCTCGCTCGGCACGACACAAAGGTCGCAGAGACTCGCAGCATCAGCAGTTTCGCTTTGCTCCGAGATAAGACAGAGATAGATGTGTCAACTACCAGTGCGTGTGATGTGGCCTGTCAATAGGCGATATCGTTACCAATACGGACTTGCGCTGTCTGCGATGACGCACTGTGGGCTGTGGCCAATTACTCGACTGGTGTGTGTGCGTGGGGTGGGGGGGGGGGGCTGGTCACAGTCACAGGTTCCATACCCCCGCCCGGTGTCACCACGGCGCCTTCCGCGGCTTCAGCAGCTGTCAGCCGGTGGGCCCGCGGCGCGCCGGCTCGTGTCAGGCCGGGAGGGCGCTGTCGGCCGCACGGGGCCGGTAAACACAGATCGGGGGGCGGCCGGAGACAACCGATCGGCCCGGCCGGCTCGCAGTGCTGGCGCGGCGGCGGGGTCAGTCGGTTGGGCTGTGTGCAGGGAATTGGAGGGCTTCAAAGTCTGCAGCTTGTCTCAAGATACATAACACGGTCGTCTCGTCTGGGGAGCTGCCAGACCCATCAGTGGAGCTGCCAGGCACGCCAGGTCGAATCAAAGGACTCTGTTGACTCAATAGTCTGATTCGGGACTCAGAAGAGCTGCTTGGCCGTCGTCTAACTACACAGCGCTTCAGGAGAGCCACAGTCAGCCAGGAGGGCAGCATCATGGAGGAGGTGCCTCTGCGTATCACGGGAGTGCAGACCCACGACCTGAGGTTCCCCACGTCTCTGCAGCTGGACGGCTCAGATGCAGTGGTGAGTGAGATGGGAGTGGGAATGGGGATGGGACGGATCAGCCTAGACCGGGTATCGACTGGGTAAGGGACGCTTGCTATGGAGACCCACGCGGACAAGGGCAGTTTTGGCGCTATATGCGAGAGATTAACTTCTAAGTTTGGCACCTTCTTGTTTAGCGCATAGCATTTTGGACGATTTGGGGTATTAGTAAGTCGGAGTTTTGAGCGTTTTGTTTGTAATTATTTTTGTTCGTACAATGTCTTGTACAACGCCGTCCATTACGGCATGAAATCTCGTGCTGCAGTTCACGTACTTTGTCGTTTTCTCTCATTGTCTTGGTTCGTGTTTGTAGCGCATTGTGAGCCGTACCAGTAGATATGAGACTCAGACCCAGCGTCCGTAGGGTGTAATATGAGCCCCGTGGTGTTGGTGCCGGAAGTGTGGTATGCACTTAGCCGGATGCTCTGCTGTGGAATGCAACCATGTGGAATCCTGATCCAATAACCGACGTGGAACTCAATGCTGGTGAACATAGACTGTTTTTTATCGTGATGTGCCTCTGGTCCTCCGAGTTTATTCCTCGCATGGTCCAGCCAGGCAGCAATGACGCCCATCGCTCAATAGCATGAGGCCGGGGATGTCGGCTTAGCTGCGTTCAGTCACGCACGTCCGTGGCTCAATCACAGAAGCTCAGGTCTGTCTCGGTACCAGGATCAACCCTATCCCGTGCTGATGGATACGCGGACTGCGGACACCGGCTTCTTGGATGTTTAGACCGAGCTGTGGCCGCTCCCCTCCTTCCCTTCCCGTCTCGTCGCCAGTACGGGTTCTTGACCAACTTGTGTTCTGGCCGAATCCCGGCCCCTGCCGCTAGTATATGGGCTCGGACAGCTTAGTCATGTCGTGGAGACCACCAATGTCGTCAAGCTACGGACCCAGATCGCAGGCTATGCTCTGACCAGAATCCCGTTCTCTTTCCCCAGCACTTACCCGGACCACGAGCTGTGCTCTGATCAGAATCCCGTTCTCTTTCCGCAGCACACGGACCCCGACTACTCGGCGGCGCTGGTAATTTTGGAGACAAATACAGAGCTTCAGGGACATGGCACCACCTTCACCATCGGTCGAGGAAACGAAATCGGTTAGTCGGGAAACAGAGCAACCAGTCAGGGATCGAGATGGTAGATCGAGCAACAGGAACGGTCGGTTTGGAGACGGGAACGATCAGCCTGGAAACAGGCTCAGTAGTCAGTCGATGAACGGCAGAGACAGCTGCTTGGAAACGGGAGCGGTCATCCTGGAAAACTAATGTAGTTGGTCGGAAAAAAAGAGGAATGGCTAGTTGGCTAACATGGCCGATCAGTCGGGAAACAGGGCGTTCAGTCAAATAAGGGGGACGGTCAGTCGTGAACACGAGCAAGTGGGTGGTCGGGCAAAGAGGAATCGGGAAAGTCCTGGTCAGACTGCGGGCAATAGTACTTTTCTTAATTAAAGGGGAATACGTCGAGAATTGAAGGCAGTCGTTTGGACAAAGAGGAAAGGAGGGGCAAGACGAGTCTTTGGGTCACATTCGCGTTGGTTTAAGATAGAATCGTCTTATTCTGGGACCCCCCGCTCCACCTGCTTGCTTATTTTCCTGTCTGGACACCAGCTTACTTTTGCAAGCTGGTCGGTGTGCTTTGAGCTAAATTAGTGACTGTTTTTCGTAAGCAACCTTCTTGTTCAACCGGCCTGACTGAGGCTCGATATAATTTGATTATAACATTAAATTGCACGGTTTTTCTTGGCCCGTTGATCTGATGCTTGTTGAACATGATTTGTATTATAGCAGTATTTTGGTGCGCTGTCAATGACGTGACGTGTTCTCGACTCCCGTTCATCTGCTATCGTTGGCAACTAGCTGATCTGATTCAGTCTGATTCAGTTTTGTGATGTTTTCCAGTGTGCGAATGCGTCAAGGCTCTGCAGTTTCTCGTGGTTGGGAAGACCCTGGACTCTATCGTCGACAACTTCGGCAAGTTCTGGGACAACATGGTCAACGAAAGCCAGCTCCGATGGGTGAGGTCTTCACTGTCGTGCTGTCTCGTGATGTCCTGTTTAGTGTTTTCCGACTATGCAGCATGCACTCCGCACGAGCCGATCAGCATTCCATCAGTCGCCAGTTGCCGCTGTTGTACCGTGGTCCGCGTGCTAGGTTTGTAACTAGCGTCGAGCAACGGCCGACCGACTGACCTTTGGCACGCTCATACCGTAAATATTGGCAGCGTTCGGTGACTGTTTAGTCGTTAAGTGGCGGTATCCAGTAGATTTCGTAATGGCGAAGTTATGACTTACCAACGACTCTCCGGTTCTATTCTAAATTTCAGTCTCCGATTTCAGTCTTCAATTGAATGACTGTTAAATGCCGCTAGGTGGTTGAAGTCAAACTCGACATCATTACGAGTACTTCCTGTCCCCGCAGTCTCTTTGACTGCCTGACATTGGTCTTACGCAACGCCATCGATCAGACACATCACATAAGTAATCATTAACCAATGCTCCCGCCTCCCAGTTCTCCTCAGGAATGGGAAGACCACCCGCTTCCCCCGCTCCATCAAACCGTTCACTCTCCCCTCTTTCTCGCTCAGATCGGGCCTCAGAAGGGTGTGTCACACCTGGCCACGGCCGCTCTGGTGAACGCCATCTGGGACCTGTGGGCCCGCCGAGAGAGGAAGCCCGTCTGGCGGCTCCTCTGTGACATGACGCCCCAGCAGCTGGTCAACGTCATGGACTTCAGATACATGTGAGTAGGTTGTATCGTATCGACGTGGTGTAATCAAATGGCTCGCAATGTCCGCAAATGATCTTTGCAGTACGGGCGCTCAAAAGCCCTAAAATGTTTAAATCATTAGCATCACCAACGGCCTCGCTGAAATGCTCGCTAGCCTGTGGCATGCCACGATTTGGGCGAGTCTGTCAAATGTTTCGTGATCTGCAACATATATGCCACATTGCAGTAATATGCGCGATATCGCGATACCCTATATCGGCACGCACTGCGTGGTGTCTCCGACTAGCCTGAATAGGCTCGCAGCCGAGGTCAGGACGATTTGTATTGTCATAATGTCCAGAGACCTCCAATATCGCTTGTTGTTCCATGTCAAACCGGTCCCAATCTCATTTTGTGACCTAATTGTGTCGATTCCCCGTCGCTCTGGACAGCTCTGATGTGCTGACCAAGGAGGAGGCGCTGGACATGCTGACCATCGACCCGGACGTGCAGAAGGAGCGGGAGGAGACGATGCTGAAGGACGGATACCCGGCCTACACCACCGCAGCTGGGTCGGAAACGAGGCTGAATGATTGCGAAAATCACATAGCAAATTCATTCGATATATAATTGCTTCATAGTGACCGTGAGAAGCCGAAGTGACTGAGGATAAGCCGAAGTGACTTATCTGTCACCAAAATGTTTTTTTTTTTTTTGCTTCGAGTTGTTCCCTGCGGAAGCCGTCTCTCCTGCTGATCCTCACGTATATCACAGCAGCAGGTCGGAAACGATGCTGAATGACTGCGAAAAATCGCATAGCAAACTCGCTATATAATTAATTCATAGTGACTGTGATAATGACAAGCCGAAGTGACTAATGTCACCAAAATGTTTTTTTTTTTTTTTTTTGCTTCGAGTTGTTCCCTGCGGAAGCCGCCTCTCCTGGATCATTGATCCTCGACGTATACCGCAGGCTGGCGGGTTACAACGATATACCCAGCCCTGTGCTGCGGTATCCACGCTGTACCAAAAATCGACGACCGACCTATCCACAGGCTGGCTGGGTTACCGATAATATCCGTGCCGTGGTGGCCGATGGGGTACCTGAACACACCAATAACCCCCGCCGACGTCCACAGGCTGGCTGGGATACAAGGACGAGAAGATCCGGGTGTTGTGCCGCCAGTATCTGGACGCCGGCTGGGACGAGTTCAAGATCAAGGTGGGCCAGGATCTGGCCGACGACCGGCGGCGACTGCAGGTGGTCAGGGAGACCATCGGACCTGAAAGGAACCTGGTGAGCGGCCGACACCGGCCGGTCAGCGGCTCAGCGGAGGGGACGGGGCAGCAGAGTAGGAAACTCATGGTGGCGCATCTAACTGGTGAAGTAAAGACGATATCGCAGTTTAAACACGTTTTACGTTAAAGAATATCACAACTTTAAAAATTAGTTGCAGGTTGAGGTTTTCGGTTCCGGCTCTAAGTAGTATTCCCTGTGCTGGTGCAGCGACTGTTTGAGATTACAGATCAGACACGATTACGTTTAATGATGAGATAAATCACCGACATCTTCCAGCAACATAAATTGAAATATGAGTATCAACGTCCCATGTTCCCGGTGTTTATCGGTAGATGGTGGACGCTAACCAGCGCTGGGACGTCCCAGAGGCCATCTACTGGATGAAGGAGCTCTCAGAGTTCCGACCACTCTGGATCGAGGAGCCCACGTCACCAGACGACATACTCGGACACGCGCAAATCGCCAAGGTGAGTCGAATGAAGCGCCAATGTAGGGCCGTCAAATTGCCAAGGTGAGACGGCTGAATCGCCAATGTAAAGCTGACAAACCGCCAAGCTGAGCCGGCAGCGAACCATACAGGATATCTGAGACAAAATGATCGACTTACTGATGTGGTAAAGCGATTGTCAATAAGTTACGGTGGGATCGCTTGAGACTGAGGGAATGCGTAAAAGGTCCAGGTGGAACGCAGTAATCAAGAAGACGCGAATTATTGTGTGTCGAGCTTGTAAAAACATGCCAACCCTTTTTCCCAGGCGCTGGCCCCGTACGGTATCGGCGTGGCCACCGGCGAGATGTGTCAGAACAAGGTGATGTTCAAGCAGTTCCTGCAGGCTGGCGGCATGCAGTTCTGCCAGGTGGACAGCTGCCGACTGGGCGGCATCAACGAGATTCTGCCCGTCTACCTGATGGCGCACAAACTCAACGGTAGGGACGGGAGGGATCCTTGGATGGTTGGGTACTAGGGAGAGGCCGAAGAGGGTGCATTCACATTGGGAGGTGCTCTAATTGAGAGGTATATTAGTTGTGGAAATAGTAAACGAGAGGAGTAGCAAGGTGCAAAAAAAGTTTGGTGAACCAGTCAGGCGTAGGATTGGTCACTTAACGGTAAATGGATTAGAGATCGACCGGATCGACCGGTACACATTCTGTACCGTGACAAAAATACGTTAAAATATGTGAAATTCACATTAAGTTAGCATGATAAAAAGTAAACGCTTCACATCACTACCGCCCCAAGAGTATGCGAAACTGACTTTTTATTCCCACCTCTCCTTTGCAGTGCCCGTGTGTCCGCACGCGGGCGGTATCTGTCTGAACGAGATGGTACAACACCTCCAGGTGTTTGACTACGTCCGCGTGTCGGGTAGCACGGAGAACCGCCGGATCGAGTACGTCAGCCACCTGTCGGAGCACCTCGAGACGCCGGCGGTGTGCCGCGGAGCACGATACTTCCCGCCGCAGGTCAGTCGGAAGGGTCAGAGGGGCAGTCATAGGGGTTAGAGTCAGGTCACCAGTCAGCTGAGGGGTCACCAAAAGCCAGTTGGCGGTGTTAGTGCCTGGCTCCAAGGTCAATTGGTGGAAATAGTTTGAAAGCAGGACCAAGGGGATTAGTCAGTGCTAGGTCACACGTCATTCACCGCGTGAGACCCATTCAGTGGTGTTGCGTTAGTAAACGGCATGCGACTATTTTAGGTTTATTAGACCAAACCGGCCGTGCCGCGCGTTTAATGTCGCACCGCGTACAGTATATCTAAAAAGTATGTCCCCTGGTTTGGCTCTCCCACAGGAGGCGAATCGGTAACTTGGCTGAATCCCAGTTGCGGCACACGGCCGCCAGGGTCGCTGCCGCGCGAGCGGCCTTGACCGCTCGCATGTCATTGGCAGTTCGGTCCCTCCCCATCTATACCGAGGTGGGGAGGGGAGAAGAGGGGAAGAGAGGGGAGGGAGCGGCATCCGCTCGGCACTTGGCGATACCTGGCTGACCCCGCGCTCCCTCGCTGACCTTTGTCCTGCCCTCAGGCGAAGACCGACTTCCTGGCCTGTAGCGGCCCAGCGGAAAACCGAGCTCGCGGGGCGCGACTCCATTGGCCCAATCTTATAAATGGAATGCTGTCGTATTCACGGCATTAGATAATATTAATAGTGATACCAGCAGTGGATGTGGTAAAATACAGTCCAAAATAAACGAAAGCACTCGATTCGTGCATAATGCGCCATCCCATTCAAATAAGCCCGCCCACTTCGATAGATGGTGTAGTTTCTTAGGGCGTAAAAGATGCAAAACACTACCGATTTTTTTTTTTAGCTCGGCCACTGGGACCGACAATATACAATTGATTGAAATGCATGAAAACCATTTTGCATTTAGGTAATAGCCGTTTTCTGCACCCAAACTTTAGCCAGTGACGCCCTGTCCATTCTAAAGCGTTTATAAGATTGGTCCCAGCACCCGATTTTATATGAGGAAGTCGTTTAAAAAGCATCTTATTTCTAACGAATTTATTATTATGGCCACTTTTACAGGACGTATATAGAGCTTTGACTTTTACATTTCTTCCTCGTTCAGGAGAAACGTTTTAACCCTCACCGGACCTTCAGGTTTTCTGAATACCGAGGGACGTTGGGGGTTGAAGTGAGGAAACAACCCCCTTCGCCGATTCGCCCCTAATTGAGCTAGAGCCTCACGAAAGAAACGATCGTGTGCGTCGTTACGAAATGCAGCGATTGGTCTCCGATTTAAGGACCAGGATCAGCCGATGACTTCGGAGGTCAGGTAAAGTGGCCCAAGGCACAGGTTCGGTTTTTGGTAAATAACTTCGCTAAAAATGATCGCAGATCCGCGATTTTAGCAGCATCGTGTTTATCTAGCTCAGGCGTGTCGAATGGTATACTTTTTCTTCGGGTGAGATCAACTTAACCCTCGCCCGTATAGAGGGGGGGGGGTCGAACGGACCCCCTCCCTCGGTTTTTCGCGAATAACTGGCGTAAAAAGCGGCCGATCGCGACGAAACTTTCGTTACTCTCGCGTTAATCAATTCTACACCCACCCTGAAATTGTCATGACCCTGACCTTAATGACCTTTGACCTGCGACCTACTTTTCGAGACCATGTTTGGCCGGAATCGCGATTCGGCGTATGTCGGCTCGCATTAGCGGCGCGTTTGCAGTCTTTTCGTGGTTTTAAGCGTTCAAACATGGGATATGATGTTGCTTCCATGCATTAGGGTGGGTGTCAAGGTCACCGGAAAGTCAGGTCAGGTCATTGACCTTTGATGACCTCGGTTCACTTTTTCGAGTTTTACATGTTTCTAGGCCAGTTTTAGGAGCTGAATTCGAATTTAGCAGCCATATGAACATTTACGAAGTAATTTTGGTGCCCTCGTAACATGTTGCGAAGCTGTCAGAGGCGGTTGCCACCTACTACGAATACCCTTACTGGTTGACCTGACCTGACCTGACCCGACCTGGCCTAAATGCATGAAGACATCATCTGTGATCAAAACTAACATGATATTAGTGATCAGCACCCCGAAAACCCCATAGCAGCCACGCTTTATGACTTTCTAACAGGCCCGATTTTCCCGACTTTTGGGTCATTGACCTGACCTGGAAAGTCAACCGATGACCTAGGACCTTAAAATTGGGTATCATCGACTTCCTCTCGTCACGGCCAACACGCTCGTTTTTTCCGCGAAGCTCTAGCTCGATCAGGGGCGAAACGGCAAGGGAGGGTCCAACGGCCCCCCCCCCCCCCTTATACGTCTGCGGCTGGAAAAACACCAATATGGGCGAGAGTTAAGGTGTTAACCTCGGGTCAAGGTCAGGTCACAGCCCGTCAGGTCACGAAGCTGGTCAAAGGAGGTCATATTGCATATCAATCGATTCGGCAGGTCTTTTCATGTCCATTAGTGGCTTTATCGACTCGGTAGCTTTAGTTGATCGGGAGTTATTGACGAAAAACTGATACCCTTGGTTACGTGATAAATGACGTCACGCAAGATCAACAAAGCAAAATTAAAGCATCAGACCTTGCAAGGAGCGCATGAAATCACGATTCCGTGTGCTTGAGAATTTGAGATAGTTGTATATCATTTCCGGACCAAACTAGCAATTTCCATATTCCCCTGACTTTTAATGGTGAGAGACTGACCTGATCTCAGGCGACCCTTCAGAAAATCCGAGATATACATTTATACAAGTTGTGAGACTCTCGATCATACTATAAGATCCTGTAAGTTTCATCTCCCTATGAAAGCTCTGCACTGAGGGTGTAGCGAAGTTGAACATTTAGGAGTGTGCACACAGTCCTAAAATGTTGAGGACAGTTTAGGACAGTTTCACACAGTTCATTTTAGGACTGCTCATTTATGACGTCATAGATCAGTGACCTGACTTGACTTAAAAATGCGGTTGGCATAAAAAACTGACTTATCAAATCCCGACTAAAAAATCGACTTATAATCCGGTTAATCAAATCCCGACCATGTTTTTACCTGGCCATTAATGTTCTAGCCTTACAGGTGATTGTTTGAACGCGGAAGATGCTGAATCTTGGTTAACCCCATACTTATCGTATGATAAAGAACGTCAGTGTTAGAAAGTTAATTAACAATTTTATTTAGGATAGTTTAATTCAAGTGGGTATAATCCGACTTGACAATTTACTAGGAGGGTTTTGCAGCGCTATTAGTTCGGCATTTAATTATAAATCATTGCTAATTTCGATCCGGAGATCGTTATTCAATGCTGGCCTTTGCGTCCTCAGAAAGTTGTTTATAGTCATGAAGGCTTGCATTGACCCATACTTTCCATTTTTCAGCACTATTATTCGCCGTAGTTGACCAGGTGTTTTCTTCAGCTCTCCCCTGAATCCTTTGGCTTAGACCTGGCGTATCACCCGTGCATCGCAAGACGCACCTACCACACACAAGTTCATGATCCCCACGAACCCACATCAGCGTCCGTTCGCTTGGTGTGTGACCCCTTGACCTTTGGCCGCGACAACTGCCAGCTTGCTGGAGCACCCCTCCCTACACGCGCTGCCCCGCCCGCTCCCCTCCCCCCCCCCCCCCCGGGGTCGTGTCACGAAGGTTCGGGCTATACGCTACTACCGGCCGCTGCGCAGCTGTCACCTAGCGCCTGGGAATGTGTGGTCTGGTGCGGATTCAGCCAACTACCGGCTCGCGACACCAGCGCCACGTAGTGGCGACGGTACATTCTTTTTAGACACACTGTACCTAGCGGTCCAGGGAGCGGATGTAACGGTACGCCGCCAGTGAAAGGAAATGGCTCGTTAGCTGCAGTTGGTCTGATGTTGATTCGACCCCGACAGATACATTCCAGACCATCAAAGGCTGCAGCGCTAAGCTCACTAGTTTTTTGTCCCTCTCCTCCACCAACTCATCACTTCCTATTCAGGCGTCGGACTCGGTTGTTTGTGCAGACCGCCGACTGCCAACCCGCCCACTTCCAACGCTCAAGGAGCCGGAGAGAAGTTATCAAACGGCACTCCATCCCTCTTCCCTTTCCGTAGGGAGCCGGGTTACAGCTACCGGTCCGGGCCGCCCCTTGCCCTCCCCCTCTTTGAGCCGGTCTATACAATTCTCAGATTGTCGTCCGCCCCCTTTGCTCTCCACATGAGCCGGGCTATAACTGTTAGGCTGTCAACTCCTCTCTCCGTTTCCGCAGGAGCCGGGTTACAGCTGCCGGTTCCGGCCAGAGGCTCTCTCGGCGTTCCGGTTTCCCGATGGCACAGAGTGGAAGCGTCTGATCCGAGCGGGCCTGGCGCGTAACACGCGTGCCGACTGACTGCCGCCGTCCGCTCACCATCGCGGTACTGCCGACTGCACAACCGGGAGCCGTCTGAGCGCCGCGAAACAGCTGCCCGGGGGACAGCCCGCTGAATGGGGGGTAAATGAGCGCTGGTCGGCTACCTCAGCCGGTTATGTAGGTGGCTGAGGAGCTGGGCACAGCCACGGCAGGCTTTGGGGCCCTGGGCATCAGCGTTACGCACAGAGCTAACAGCACAGAGCTAACAGGTTTGCACAAGGGACTCAGCTGGCCCCAGGTCCCAACCCGGCGACATATGCAACTCAGTGTGGTACCGGGCTGTCGAAACCGGAGGGGATATTGTGTGCAGTAGTGGTTCGTACGAGTCATAAAAACGGAGACTTGCTTGAAGATTATGTGACGTGCAATTATGGGACCAAATAACTATTTAGTGATAACGTGAAATATAAATAGAACTGAGGCGACCTGCTTGTACAATTAAATGGCGGCTGACGGCAGAAGAGGCGGGAACGCAGAATCACTCCCCCCCCTCTCTCTCTCTCCGCTGACCTTAGGTCATCTGCATGTAACCCGATCAGACCAAAACACAAAGGACTTATCAGTTATCAGTCACCTAACCCACCAAAAAATCGTCTTCCCTGTTCGTAAACGCATTCATCAAAACCACGTCAGGCGTCTATATTATGCGGTAAAAACAGGTGACTGCGTGAGCGACATGGCAACAATAGCGACACGACAGCGTGGCGGCTGCGGCGGCGCGGCAGGCGGCGCCAATCGTGACTAGATGGACCGGCCGGCGCGCCGGGCCGATCAGGCATACGTGGCGGATGTCAATAGACTAATCCAGCGACTGAGGGCTCCGGACGCTTGCAGCCCTCCCCAGGCTCTCATGGGCGGCGGGAGGCACTGAGCTCCGAAATAATATCCCGCTCCTCATCGGCGGCACAACTCATATAGGCGACTGAGGCTCACAACCATATCTCGGCGTAGCGTCTCGGCGTCTAGCTGCCTGTGGTCGGCCGTCCGAGCCCCCTAGACGGGCCGGACCGGCCGGGACTGCGGGCTGCGGAAGCCGCGGTGCCGTTTGTTCTGTGTGACCCGTAGAGCTCGGCCCGGCTGGTGATTTGGAATGTAGCCGCGGCGGCTGTTACGCCGGCTCCAGCCGCAGTAGCAGAGCGCTGAGCGCGGTGGCGGCCCGCTCTTTGACCATCCAGCGCGGTCCGTCGGCAGTGTAGGCGCCCGGCCGCAGGCGCACCTCCAGTGCAGCGCTGGCCACCACTCGGCCCAGCGACGGCTCAGAGTACCTGTCAACGGGGGCGGTAACGTTACCGAGCAGCCATTAACACAGGAGAGCATGAATACGTTGACAATGAGGATAATAAGCAGTCAGAGGATGGCTAAAAAAAGATCCAGAGCGATTGGAGTGCACTCATAATTCATGGACAAAAAGAGATGATTCCTTACGATAAATAACTCAATTCCAGCCTGCTTCTAACGAAGTAACTCATATCTTGTCAATCACAGTATATGTAATGGGGAGAAGCTTGACCGTCATGTGCGTATATTCTAATCCACCTGACCTGTCTGTATCCAACTGACCAGACCAGCTTCCCGTATCTGACCAGCCAGATCAAAGTGACCCGACATTGACAAATGTGTCCTACCGGCCAGCCCGCATCCAATTACTGACCTGACTGGTGGCCAGGTGGCCGCCGCCGCCGCCTGCCGTAACGCCGGGTAGAAGACCAGCTCGGCACGGCCCGAGTCATCGTCCTTCCCCCGGCCCGTCGGCAGGGCCTGCATACCCAGCTCGCCTGCGTACACACGCAGTCACCAGTTAGAGAACATACCGCGCACGTCAGCAGCGCCTGCATTCCCAGCTCGCCTGCCGCACACACGCAGTCGGTGGTTAGAAAGCACGCAGTTGGACGGGGAGATGCGCACATTGCAGGCGGAGATCACGCCGATTGGGCAGCGCTAGAGACACTGTCCTTGATGACTTACGTTATTTCATGATGACCATTCCAATAATCGTTTGATATGCTTCTAAATATTCAGACGTCAATCTAGATATAGCAAGACGAAGCCTGACGAATTCGTTTTGCTTACAATAAGCTGAGGCTGAAGTGACAAATGTCTGTCTGAGATCACTCACCCGGCACCAGCAGTTGTCCCCTGTCCAGTGTCCGTCGGATGTCGCCCAGTCTCACTGCCGCGAACGCCGTGTGCCAGCTCAGGTCGGCGCTCACCGCCGCTCCTGTAGGCGCGGCCAGGGGCAGGCGACACCAGCCAGCGGCGGGCCGAGCGGCCGGGCCGTCCGCGCTGCCGCTGCCGCCGCGGAGACGGCAGCACGGCTCACAGAGACACTGGGCCGCCGGCTCCGGGCTAAAGTACTCGTCTGGGGGAGAGGAAAGAAACAAGTAGCGTCAAACAGAGCCCGGATGCTTTCTAAAGGCCATACTGCTGTTAGAAGATACTATGGTTTTCGAAAGTGCTCTGCACGTAAATATTTACCATGTCATTGTATTAGGTTCCATCTATGATTAACAGATGTAACACTTTACGATGCTTTACAAAAGAACCAGTTAAGACTACTGGCTCATTTAAGAAACTTCGCTTGAAACCCCACGTGCAAACAAGCAGGCAAGCATCCATGTTATCTGACTTACACCTATTTCCGTAACTTACCTGGCAGACCGAGTGAGCTCCTGAAGCGGAGGCAGGCGCTCTGGAAGGTGCAGTTCTTTATCACAGCGGCGGCCAGCTCGCCGGGCGCGCGGTCACCGCCGGTGCCGAGCGGCCGCAGTGAGCCGGCAGTGGACGGGTCGGGCTCCTCCTGGTCAGGGTCCGACTGACTGATGGACACCTGTGGGAAGGCGGTCAACCGGTCAGGGTAGGGTAAACAGCGGGTCACGACCACGTATTCGGTAACGGCACTGAGCATAGATGCTGGACGAAGTACTAGTCTCATAGGACGGTCAGAACTCTGATACAAAAACCTGGGCCGCTTTCCAGACCATCACGTTATCAACAGTTGAGTTAGATGAAAATCGTAATATTCCTAACACAGCTAACACCTGTGGAACAATACTTATAAATCATCCCTACGACCAATTTTGAATCAAGATGTTAGACTCCCTGGTCCCTCATAATGATCCCCTTCCACAAATGATGCGTTTCTGATAGCCGTCCCGTCCCGGCCTCCCACATATCCTCACCTGAACACACTGTCCGTAGAGATCCACTAGCGCGTAGCAGGGCATGGCCACGGGCCCGGCGGCTACGCCCTGGTCCACGCCGTTGACGAAGAGGTGAAGCCGGGCCTCGGCGTCTACCAGAACTCCTACTAGGTGACCGGCGGACAGGGTGTCCAGGTCCACACCGTACCGGCCGCGCACCTGAAGAGGTGAAAGGGGAGTGATGATATTAGCACCGCGTAGGAAAGGAGGAAAGACGGTTATCAGGTGGAGCGATGCGCAATGTGGAACGAACTTCACAATATTGCGATTTAATGATCAACTTTGTCCTTTTTACTATCTTTTACAAGATCTTTCGCCTTTTTGCAAAGAACATATATAATAGACCTCTACCGGACTAGGAAAGTCGACACATCTATGGATAATATCTCGCGGTGTCTGGATAAGTTTTTTTTTAATCACTCAAACGCATCGCATTTTATTCCGGAGATAGCGTGTCCATACTCCATCTAATATTTGCACAGGAGTCCGGAAGGCCAAACAAGTGGCATTCATGTAGCATCACCATTATTCTACAAGTGAGTGGCGTTATAAGTAACCTTGACCCCGACCACTCGAGGCGCCCCTCACTTTGACGCCGTTGTGGAAGACGGCGTCGGAGGCGATGCACCAGGCCGAGCGGCGCAGTCCGAGCGCCGACACCGGCAGGCTGGCGGCCCGCTCCCGCTCCGGGCCCAAGCAGCAGACACCCACCATCACAGACGAGCTCCAGCAGGGTAATAACCGCTCAATACGGACCTGTGGACACAGTTATAGACTGTCACAGACGCCCACCATCAGAGACGAGCTCCAGCAGGGAAGGAGACGCTCGATACGGACCTGGAGACACAGTTACAGACCGTTATAGACGCACACCATCAGACGAGCTCCAGCAGGGTGATAACCGCTCGATACGGATCGGTAGACAAACTTAGTCCAACACGGTAGAGTGAAGAGTCCCACACACAGACGAACACTCAATCAGACTCTCATCATCAGACATCACACTCCACCAGAGAGAAAAGATCAATACGATTGCACGCTCCCACTGTCATAAATAATGTAAGGACACATGAGTGCCCCATGACGCTTGCCGCCTTCCTCCCCCCCCCCCCCCCCCACACACACTGACCGCAGCAGCCCACCTCAAAAAGTTGTCCGGCTCGCAGCGGCTGGGCGGAGAGCACCAGGCCCTGGTTGTAGCTCGCCACCCGGCGTGCCACGCAGCCCTTGTTGCTCAGCGCGATATTCCGACCGTGACAGTCGCGGAAGCGGACCGCGGGTTCGACCGGCCGCGGTGGAGTGGATCCCGCCAGACCGGAGGATCCTGAGGGTCCCGCCGCTGGAGTTGCCGGCCCTCCTGCCGCCCCGGGGACGGCTGCTGCTGCTGCCGCTGTGAGGAAGGTAGAGGCGTCAGAAGCTACTACAAATAATAGCTGCAGAAACATTATTATATTGATGTTAAAAAATTTTATCCACTTCCATCGAGATGATCCATTTCACAGAAGCGGCAAATTATGGTTCATTTTCACGCCTTAGTCCTAGTCCTCAACGCATTTTCCCGCAAAATTGGTTAGCGCCGCTATCCTGCTCAGGCTTGAGCCATCCCGCGGTCATGCAACAACTCTACGACAAACACGAGTAGCCCGGCTACCACACCCTGCCGGACTCGTTCCACTCACCTGGCAACGGTCGCGCACCGCCCAGTTCCAGCGAGTCCTGCATCACTGAGACGGGCGAGTCGGGCGCACCGCTGGCCGGCAGCCCACCGCCGGGTGAGGCCAGGGAGCGGCACGTGCTCACCGCCGTCACCGACTGGGTCCGGCCGTACAGCTCGGCCACGCCCCACACGCGCTGAAATACACACGGAAATCGCTGGCCGTTAGTGATGGTGAGATGAGATAATAATCGACAGCCCTAGGGCAGGGAGAAGAATCAGGGTGTAGAATTCAGTCAAAAGATAGTGGAATACCTGATATCAATAATACTGCATCGATAATGGGTTGTAGCTCGCCGGCTTTGGAGGGGCATGGCGACGTCCTTCACAAGCCGGTCCCATTCACGTTTTCCCGTCTAAGTTCCACAAAATGCTTCAAAGATCCTGAAGAATTGGAACCAGATCTCCACGAAAATAAATGCCCTCCGCCGGCCGCGCCATTCCTACCCTGGGCAGTCCGGAGGCCGCCACGCCCATGTCCTCCCCGTTGATGACCAGTCGCAGGCAGTTGTCGGTCGTGCACCTGATTCCGACCCGGTCCCCACGCCGCAGCCGGTCCAGGCTGGGACAGTAGTTGGTACGGACCGTGCCGCCCGCCCGCCGCACCTCACTGCCTGTACAGACACACAGACAGACAGACAGGGTCAGACACAGACAGACAGACAGACGGCCAGACAGCCGGTCCAGGCTCGGACAGTAGTTGGTCCGGACCGTGCCACCGGCCCGCCGCACCTCACTGCCTGTACAGACACACAGACAGACAGACAGACAGGGTCAGACACAGACAGACACACAGACAGGGTCAGACAGACGGTCAGACAGCCGGTCCAGGCTCGGACAGTAGTTGGTCCGGACCGTGCCACCGGCCCGCCGCACCTCACTGCCTGTACAGACACACAGACAGACAGACAGACAGACAGACAGGGTCAGACACAGACAGACAGATGGGGTCAGACAGCCGGTCGAGGCTGGGACAGTAGTTGGTGCGGACCGTGCCGCCGGCCCGCCGCACCTCACTGCCTGCACGGATACACAGATACAGACAGGCATTGTCACAGAAAAAAAAAACAGACTGACAGCTAGGCAGACGATGGGAATGCTGGGGCTGGGCTAACCGTAGTGCAGTTCGTCTCCAACCAAAGCAGCTCCTTACTGAATTGTTTTAGCTACATTTGAACACTAATGTCTTATAGACTTACAATCTACCAGTTCACGCCCAAGCGCCGACTGCCCCGACGCAATTCCTCGCGCACTCCCCTCTGCTCCAGTCATGTCCCGTTGACGCGTGCCCAGTCTCTTACCTTCGACCCACCACGTGTGCTCGGGAATCTGGTCGAGGCTGGACGGCATACAGCCCACGTTGTTGGGCGAGAAACACGTCAGACCCAGGCGGAGAGAGCCGGCGAACTGGTCGCACAGCTGCTCTATCCGCAGCTGAGGACACACAGGGGGGCGGACAGGGCGGTTTCAACTCTGGAGCAGAAGGAACAGTCAACGATTCAGTGTTCTATGACAAACGTTTGACTGTGAGGTCCTTAGTATTCATGGTGAAACAGCAAATCAGAATGTGTGAATGCAAGACAGATTACGCTTTCGGATATTGACTCGTCAGTTCCAGATGACGAACTGTTGATATCAAAACAATGTACCTAGAATTTTTAAATAGCACGTCAAAGCACGTAGACCGTATAGCAGACAGAGTGGCTCTCAAACTGACCTCGAGCAGCTCCTCAGGAAGCAGCGGAGCCGCGGTGATTATCACAGAGTTTGAGAAGCCTCGCAGCCGGACGGCCGTCGTATTATTATTGCGAAGATTCACATTCTTACCACAACATAGACTAAATCTGCAACAGAAGAGACAAAAGGTCAGCTTACAAAGTTGCTACCTACCTGAAACCTACACGAACTATAAGGGTAAGGTGTAAGACGTAAGTACTAACTACAGGGTGTTCCATAATGAATGTGCATTTTAAATAGGCTCAAAATCTAAGTAATTGTATTCATAACACATAGAGCGATATACCATTGTATTGGCGAAAGAATGGTTTTTTCTGTCGTAATGGCTTCAGACACTTGCATGCTTTCAGTTTTCGGCACTGGCGCCGTTTCTGCGGAGGCAGATTTCGGCCCTCCTGCAGACATGCCGAACCGCCTGCCTGACGTCCCCTGGCTTCAGCCCGCGAGCAAATGCATCCACAGTGTTTTGCAGTTCCAGAAGTGTAGTGGGAGGGTTGCGCCGTAATTCCGTAATGGTACGTTATGCTTTTCCTTAAAATGGTACCCATACCTACGGCGTACCGCAGTTACGTTTCTCAGCCTACCATATTCTGCGACTGCCCAAACTGTCTCTCCTTGTGTGAACGGCGCAGTGCATCGTATCTGTGCTGCTGACATCGCGGCGGATGGCGGCCATGACACTGAATGCTTTGGGATAATTTTTGCACAGATAAAAAGGCCAATCTTTTTGGAACAATGCTCATATAAAATTATCGATCATTGTTTTATTTAAGATCCTCCAATGGTACATTTAAAATGAACACTCATTATGAAACACCCTGTATATAGTACGTTAGCTAGGCGAGTAGGCGAGGTTCAAATTAGTATTTCGTCGTATGAAATTTATGAAAGACAATTCCAAAAACGCACTTCAAATATGGAGCTACGAAACTGTGTTACAAGATGCCAAAAAAGCAAACACCGGCCATTGCACATTCGGTATTTAGAAGCCAATATAACTGACAGATCAGACACAGGGAATCCAGTCAGCAATTAATGACCCCCCCCCCTCTCCGCTCCATCCCTAGCCCCACGCACAATGCTCCCCATCAACTCCCATTACCACCCTCACCACGACTCACCTGTGCGCTATTTCGTTGCCCAGCAGTATACTGAGCGCCTGCGAGCTCTCCAATATCTGAGAGTCGGAGCAGAGCAGGCTGTTGTCCTGTAGCCGGGTGACGTGGTTCAACACGCTCACCTGCGCACACTGGCCGTACAGGTCTATCACTGCGTACACGTCTGAGGGGAAAAACGAGGGACCAAATGTCAATCGTGGTCAGAACAGAACAATGCACCCATATATGTAAAAGTCCTATCAGTTTCGGATATGGTAACACGGGGACTGTGGAAGTTGGGGGCAGTTCAGCATGGCTAGGGGATTCTGTATGATAACAGTATACCAGCGGCTGTCAGCCAAAACGTCGTCAAAATGAGCGATTCAATGATCTTCCGAATGAGAACTTAATTCGTTAAGACCCGAGTCGGATTGGTAGCTGCAGATGTCCTCTAGACATGCTTTAGAATTCACTTGAATTTAAAAGAGTCAAAAGGCCCTCCCTTCATGATGATGAATCAACTTCCATCCACTTATCCACACTCTCACACACGAACGGGCCACTCACTGAATGGCCCTCCACCCCATCCCTCCCTCCCCACCCCCACTCACTGGGCGGGACGCCGTCACAGGCCACGCCCTGGTCCTCTCCGTTGATATAGACGTGCAGGGTAGAGTCAGCCAGCCGCGCCAGACCCAGCCGGGAGCCCACACCCAGAGTGTCCAGGTCACACCGGTACCGGTTACGGATTATCTTGCCGTCCTGTAAAGCGGAGTGGCAGGTCAGACGGTCGGGCGGGGTGAGATGAGATGTAGGGGTACATGGTCAGACGGTGGGGCGAGGCAGCGCGGGGTAAAAGGAAGCGGCGGGTTTCCAGCCATTGTATAGATCTGGAGTTCAGACCGATCTGCGAACCTAACGATGCCGTAGAGCGTTAGGTTCGTTATGGGCGCCGATGACCACCAGCTGTAGTCTGGGCGCCCTAAACCTCCAAATCGTCATCAACTTTTAGGTTCGTTAGCAAACTTATTAAGCTACTTGCAGTGTAAAAGGTCGTGGAGAAAAAAGAACCAATAGGTAAGCGATACCTTTACACTGAACATGATCTCTTACAGACATAAAATGGTGGAAGTTTGTGGCACCCGCACCACCTACTTGCGATGTGCGTCCGTCATGGGCCTTATCAGGCTGTTTATTCGGTCTCACATTAAATCTGGCCTGAATTAGCGATAACTGTCTTTAGCTGCCCGGTTCTTACCTTCATCACAGCCGAGCCGGAGATCATCCAGGTATCGAAGTCGATGTCGGTCATGGTGCGCGGGAATTTGAGTTCCTCGGGCGGAACCAGAGTGACGCCGGCCTCGATACTGCCGCTCCACCGGTCCACCATCCGCTCGATAATCACCTGAGAAAGAGGGAGAAATAGTAGAAGTTAGGCACAAAGAGGCCATCGACACTACCGCTACACAAGTCACAGCTCGATGATCACCTAAGGAGGGCAAGGGATGGTGGTAGTCAGACTCGGAGGAACGAGGCAGTCAGACAAACAAGCAAAGAGGGATGAGAAAGGATGAGTCAAACAGTCATGGACGGGGGTAGTGACGGGAAGACGGCGGTGACAGACATCAAGAAGTCGACCGGTGACCGCGGGCAGGGACGGGTGCGCGCGCGCCTCGCTGCCGTACCCACGCGCGTGTCAAGTGAGTGCCTGGCTGTGCGGCAGCTGTGCCCTGCGGTACCGGTGACTTTTGCGATCTTTTAGATTGAGTGAGGATGGAGAACGCCCGGGCGGTGGTTAGGGGGCACCCCCGGGAAAGATGATTTTCCGGGGGTGCGGGCGGGGGCCCGCGGCCCGTTGTGAGCGGACCTTGAGTGACTTTGAAAGTGGCATTGTGACCATTGTTGTGTGACGAGACCTTTGCTGAAAATTAGAGCTGTGACAGCGTTTCGGGGCCTGTAATGCTGGTTTTGGTGTGCTGGTCGTGACTTTGGTGCGATGTGAGTGATTCTGGTGCGCCTGCTGGTGATCTGGTGCTGCAGTGTGTATTTTGTTTCTCACTGCTACGTGGCTTTGAGTTTTATTCACTCTCTGTGCTATGCTGAATCACTGGATAAATAGACACCAAAATCACAAAAAAAAACTTTGCTCATTTCGTGTCCGTGATCCCGCAGACAGTGTCCATCGTCACGGCGATTCCTGGAATTGGCCTGTTTGTCGTCTGTCTGATGTGTGTAGCTCGTGTTGGAAGCCCCTCGCCGGGCGTTCGTGAGCGCGCCCGCACGAGCGCACTGCGTTCGGGGGCAGTGGCGTGACCCGGTCCCATAGCCGTGGACTCGGTTCACGCGTACCCGGACACATGAACCAGACCTCAGTGCGATATTGACCTGTGACGTCATGTGTTTAGTTGTTAGATGTGGACAGTGTTGGATTTGAGGTGTGCACTGTTCATTTTGCTCGTGATGTTTTGTATAAACGACTGTTTTGTATTCAAATGTGACCAGTGATTTTGTATTGAGTTGCATGAATACATGTTTGAAATACCCGTAAAAAAAGACAGACATCAAGAAGCGGTCACTGTCGCATAGTTGATAGTCAAGATCCTTTCAAACATTAGTACGTGCTTGTTAAATCACTCGTACCGTTTCAACCAAAATGCTACACACTCAGATACTGCTGACCAAGTCAATATCCCGGACCCAGAAGCTAGGATGCTTGACTAATGCTCCCCCACATTCTCCTCTAAGTCTGGCAGATCAGCCGCTGACATTGTCTCACCTCAAAGACCTCGGCGTCGCGCAGCGGCCGGTTCGACATGATGATGGACTCGTTGAACTCGCCGTGCGCGTTCGGACGGCTCGCCGTGGCCCCGTTCATGGAGACACGAGCGTTCCTGCCGTGCAGCTGGTGGAACTTGAGGTCGCTGCGGGAAGAACAGGGAAGGGTGGGACGATAAAGAGAGAAGTGCTGGGGATAGCACCGTGAGCTCAGAGGTCAACACTTAACCCTATTCCTGGCGGGGGGGGCCTCAGGAGCCCCCCCCCCCTGAGGTTTTTTGGTTATTTCTCCCAAACGCGTTGAGCTAGGAAGCTCAAATTTTCTGACTTTTCCTAAAAGGCTTCTACGTAACATGTCTGAAAATTTTGAGTTGATCTAACCTCAGGTCAGGTCACCAGAGGCGGTTTGGTGACCCTAACTCAGAAAAGTTTGCAATCACGCCAGAGCTAGAGTTTTTGACCGATCAATTTCTTCTCTTCAGGCTTTAGTTAGGGTACCAGTATGTGCAATTTGTATATCTCGGAATTTTGATATCGGTGACCTAAGGTCAGGTCAGTTTCGCGACCTCCCCATTATAAGTCAATGGGGGAAAAATCAACTCCCTGTTTTTACCACTAAAACGGGTCGGAATGGCCCCATATACCATACATGACTTCATATACGATCAACCTTCACTACCTTGAGGTCTGTTTTGCTGTTGGGCAGCTGTGAGATCATGTGACGTCATCAAAGGTCACCAAAGGTTTTTGGCCAATAACTCCGTACAGGAACAGGATACAGACGCGTGGATGGTCTCATTGTGTTCAGCTCGTCAAGACGCATCGAATGATATACATGATGACCTCGAGGTCACGTGACCTGAGGTCAACCTTTGACCTTGACCTTTCGAGGTCAACATATATATCATTCGATGCGGATTGACGAGAGGATCACGATGATGCCCTTAGTTTGTTCCTATCTTGACTAATTCGAAAGTTATTCGAGAAAAACTCTCTCCATATCTAGCGCCGCCATTTTGACTTTTTCGACCCCTGTGACGTCATCTTTGACCTGACCTGAAAATGACCTTAGTAAAAATTGTAGATCTTGACCGTGCGTATCCGATGCCGTTTACCGTTTGTCGCTGCGATGTGTAGTTTTTGAGATCTGAAGGGGGGCCGAATCGGCCCCCCCCCCCCCCGCCAGTTTCTTGTCCCGGCGGAGCCCGCCAGGAATAGGGTTAAAACAGCGTGTAGAGCGAGATACTCGAACATTTTTTGTTCATGTACTCTTGCATGACTTCAGTCCCAGTATGAAGTCAACTACGTTGACCTAGTAACGGTATTCAGTCCGTCCGTCTGTCTCATGTTCTATGTGATGTTGGCCGTCCCGCACGGCGGCTCTTACCTGTACAGGGTGGAGCTGGAGCCGGTTGAAGCAGCCGGTGATGGCGCCTGCGACCTCACCCGCTCCACGATGGTCACCTGAGCAGCCTGGCCGTACAGATCGACCACTCCGTACACGGCGCGAGGCACGCCCAGTGCCGCCACACCCTGGTCGACGCCGTTCACGAAAAAGTGCAGCCGGCCGTCCTCGTGAACGGTGACACCCACACGGTCACCGACCTGAGGGTCAGGGGTCAGAGGTCAGGTCACCTGTCACTGGGGTCAGGTCACATGTTCACCGACCGGCTAAGGGTTACGGGTCAGAGGTCAGATCACACGGTCACCGACCTGAAGGTCATGGGTCAGCGGTCAGGTCATCGGTCATTGCTCACCAACCTGAGGGTCACAGTCAGAGGTCAGGATACATTTACCTCACAAGGTCACACAGTACAGTGGCCCAGTCGGCACTGTTCAGCGCGGCCGACGCTCGATAATAATCAGACAGGTAGTGGACAGTGGTCTTATGTGATAAGTAAATGAACAGTGGGTGCCTCGGGTCGGTTCGTGTCAAGCAGGTGGACTAATCACAGCGCTCGCCGATGTGAGCCAGCCTACTACCAGTTATCTGAGTCAGAGACACGCACCTTGAGCCTGTCCAGGTTGTGTCCGTAGTCGTCCAGCACAGCGGTGCCGTTGTGCATGACGCCATTGCCGGTCATCATCCATGTGCCTGACCTGCGGAACGGAAATAGCTCATCAACGCACAAAAAAAGACAGGAAAGATCATAACCTAACTGCAAATGGAAGAAAGGTGTTACCAAATCGCCAAACATAACAGCATTGTCGCCTCTAAATTTCTCGCAAATAACCACGGCTAAAAAAAAAATAATAACTTTCCACCTTGCACGCATGACACAGATCCACCACGGCTCAGTGTCTCCCAGCTACCCATGCGACGACTCGAATTCAATTATGTCGCAGCACAGCGAACTCCCACGCTCACCTGACGTTGGTCATTGTGGACGGGTACTCGAGATCGGTGGGGCCGTGCGTGGTGACGCCGATCTCGATGGAGCCGGCCCACTTGGTGACCACCTTGTCCAGCCGCACCTCGAACAGCTCCTGCGGCCGCAGGTGGCGCGCCGTCATCACCACGCCGTTGTTGAAGTCGTCCATCGCACTGTGGGGTGGATCGGTGGGCCAAAGTCAGAGGGGAGTCACGGTGACAGAGAGACACTCAGGTGTACAAAACATAGACAGAATCACTCAGATCAGTATAATGAAAAAGACGAACGATTTCAGCTGGACTGCGTATCACTTTTATAACTCAAATCATAAATGCCCGAAACATTATTCGTATGATTTAAACAAAAATGTCGCCCGTTGTTCACCTTGGCGATATCGTTTCGATCAAACAAGCTCCCAAACCTGAAACCAGTCAGCATCGCCGGAGCGGACTAGAGTACGATATTATCTACACTCTTTCCGTCCTCCCTCCCACCATCACCCCATCCTATCCCATCCCATCCCTGCAGCCTCCCACACCGGTCGTACTTGGGTCTGTGCGCGGTGCGCCCGTCGGGCAGCACGGCCGCGTGGCTGCCGCAGCTCGTGTGAAACGTCAGGAGGTGCGGGTCGGCGGCAGACAGGGACAGGGGCAGCGGCAGGCCCCGGGAGTTGTCCGGCAGCTGCGGGTCGGCAGCGCCGGCCACCCGGTCCTCGCTGTCGTCCACTATTGAGACCTGACAGGGTGGAGAAAAGAGTCATGGTTGATAGGTCGGAGCATAATGTGACAAGTGACAGTAGAGATGATAGAAGCTGACAGGCCAGGGCGACATCGGGAGCATGTGAAACTACAGACCGGGACAATTTAACGAGTCATGGTGGCTGGCATCGGCCGTCGCAGCAATTTTAAACGGTGATAGCTTGCGAATTGTAGTCTCACTCTCATGGTAACCACGAATATAGTGGGAGACCACCTCAGCTGTGACCTGAGACATGCCATTCCCATTACTCACAAACCATGCAATCATTCCTAAAATCGACAGTGAACGTCATGTCCCGCAGTAGTGTCGTCGTGAAGTCCCACGTACTCGGTTCTACCGGTCTTTGGCTATCTTCCACCTACCCTCCCCTCCACTACCTTCGTTGTACCTTGACGGTCATGCCGTAGAGATCGACCACGCCCCAGACGGTGGGCGGGGCGTTGGTGGCAGCCACGCCCTGGTCCAGGCCGTTGATGAAGAAGTGCAGCGTGCCGTTACTGCGACGCATCATGGCGATCCGGTCTCCCTCCTGTCGGCGCCGAGCACATCGTAAGGAGGTTGAGAGAAGGGTAGTCATTGGTCCATAAGCCACACATATAGTACAGGGTGTCTCAAAAGTTCGTATATACATTTCCCAAATCCCATGTCAATAAAGCATATAAGAACCGGCCAAAAATCTAAGGTTTTGGTGTCCGTGTGTACACTAGACAAATATGCATGCTTTGACAACTGATTCGGAAGGTTGGAAACCAAACCCTTTGCTGTATCTCCAAAAATATTTGCCCATACCGATTTTCGTCACTCCGTCAGCTGCCGGAGGCTGATAAAAGGTTACCAGCTTTCAAGCTCTTGTAGGGGAATCCCCCGCAGTTTCTGCGTCGGATTTAGGTTTGACGAGCTCCCCGGCAATATCCGCTTCTCCCTGAAAGCCGATAGCTTGCATCGACACCATCCGTGAGTATTTTGTAGGTCTTCTCTGGCGCTAACTCCTTCATGAATGACTGGCGCCGACCTCCCAAGCACCATTTTCCTTTTCAAAACAACCCCATTCCTGAACAAATGGGAGGTGCCAGGGGCAAATTTTTCGCAGCATATCGTAGCAGAATGTGTCGGCCATCCGTTTCTTAGACACATTTTACAAAATTTGCAAATCCCGAACACTCGTCATTCCCAATGTCAAGACCTTCGCTGGGTTCCGGAGTGTTTTCCTCAGGAGAGGTTCTGCTTTGTAAAAGGCCAAAACCTGTCCATCGTGCGGTTTTGTCCGGATTTTGTGTGTAAAAGAAAGCTATTTGCTCCAGATCTGCCTCTTGAAACTTCGTTAGATAAAACTTTACATTAATTGACACTTTTGGAGGGTCACTTGTCCTCGGCATTGACGATTTTCGCATTATTTTCCCTCAAAATTTAGCGTTATAGATATTATAAACAATTTTAAATGATATTTTGTCTTTATTTTATGATGACCTGCAATTTTTGAAACTGGGTAACCTCTGTCTGTGAGCTTCTAGTCAGTTTTCAATAGTTAGGACTGCATTTTCAGCTGCTTTCCGGAGCACGAGTCAGCTGCGGTACAAGGGTCGTTCAAAGCGCTGTTAGTCTCGCATGGTTTTGTCCTTCAAAAATTTTAGCCACCGTTTTTATTAGATGATCATCATGTTGTACTCATCCTCGCCGACACTTTGCCATGTGTCATTTCCGACCTAACCATTCCCATTACTCGTGAAGCAGAGAGTTTCTCAGCCGACCCAAGTATGCGACCTCCATTTTCATGCCTGATCCATGGTCAGAGGTGAACCCTTTTTGTGTGCTCATGAAGGGTCGAATGCGCTTGAAAACAATGAAGCTGCTTGAGGAAGGTTGTTACCAATGCCCATGCAAAATTTCGACTGTTAATTTCATGTTGATTCAGAATTATTGACAAAAAAGCATGGCTGGTACCTGTAAGCGAACTTTTGAGACACCCTGTACAGCAGTACAGTCCGCACACACAAGGGTCACCTCATCAATGCGCACCATTCGGAGGTTCGTGTCCACCACATCGGTGCCGCGTTGACTATCTCTCGTTATGACTCATCGTATTTAAAAAAATGTCAAAAACTCGTCACTCCCCATTGTCTACCTCTGCACATGACCCACCCTCAGAGTCCATCAGTAACGCACCTTGAGCTCGTCCAGGTTGAAGGTGCCGTACTCTCGGCGGGTGCCCTTGCCGTTGGTGAGGATGCCCGATCCGGACATCATGATGGTGCCGGTGCGCAGGTTGGTCATGGTGGCCGGGATCTTCAGCGTGTCCGGACAGTGGGTGGTAATGCCGGCCTCGATCGAGCCCGACCACTTGTCTACCAGACGGTCAATGCGGATCTGAGGGAGCGGGGCGGGGCGGGGCGGGGCCAGGCCATATGACGGGCTGGAAACGAGCACCTCTACAGCAGCTACACGTGAGCAGTCGAATCGATCGGCGTCATCGATTCCTTAATTTTCAAAGCGCAATGTTGATTGATGAACGGAATTCAGTCATTGATTCATTCATGCATTCATTCGTACATCAATGAATGAATGAATGAATGAATGAATGAATGAATTGACTAATTACTCTACAAAATAAGCAAAAAATGGCATCTGTCATGATTAACGCGGTGACTATTGTCGTGCACCACCACCGTTCTAGCTCTTTACAGATTAACTCCTAAGGTTAGTAGCACACGACCCGTCATTACCAGCTGATGTAGCCGGGGCCTGGCCCCTCCCCTCCTCCTCCTCCCCCCCCCCCGTACCTCGAACAGCTCATCATCCCTCAGCGGCCGGTGGGTGAGCACCACGCCGTTGTTAAACTCGTCCAGCGGCCGGCGCCGCTCGGCCGACCGCTCCTGTGCCGTCAGCAGCACCAGGCTGCCGTGCCGACTGTGAAAGCGCAGCCGGTCGCCGGACGAGCGCGCCTCGGCGCCGCCGCACCGGTTGTCACCTGACGGGGGACGGGGCGGGTCATGAAAATGAGAGGAAGAGACGTTCATTATTTGTCTGTCACTAACGGATAGACGGGAATATGGAGATGTGCTATGTCGGAACTAACTAGGTTCAACGGGTGAAGAAATGAGTAATGACAGTGCTGTCTGAGCCGCAGACGGCTGCCGTCAACGACAGAAGAAACTTGTGAGCTTTATTTTATTGTGCAGATGATTGTAGTACAGCGTCCACAAGTTTCAGCTTTATACCAACCCACGGTCCCACAGCCTCCACTTTTCGTGAGGTATCCATGCTACTGCCACAGATCATGCCCTGCTGCCACAGTCCTCCTCATACATAGCCAGCATTCTCTACATACGACAGCGTTCAATCTGTGGCGAAACTTACGTTCCGAGTGACGGTTGCAGTTGGTAATCGACGCCTGTGAGCACTTCCCGTAAAGGTCGACCACGGCCCACACCTGAGCGGGCAGACCGCTGCCGGCGATACCCTGAGGCGAGCCGTTTACGTAGAACACCAGCTCGCCCTGTCAGCACAGAAAGGTCAAATGAGGTCAGGTATTGGGAGCCAAGTCAGTCGGCAGAGGTCGGCAGTGGCGACCTTAGAAACTTGCCGATAAATGCTGAGCACCGTCATTGATCGGGAGCTAGGACAATAATTCATCGAGTTATTCCTGCAAGTGATACCGATTACCGAGAGTTATCGCAGCCAGACAATTACAACACATTCTATTATTGTTGCACTTGGTGACACTCCAGTTTCGCGACCATTTCCACGGTAAACGCGTGGCGACACCGCGCGTAGGCGTATCGTATGACACTACCAGAGATTACTGACATGCCCCAGAGATTTATGCAGAGCCCAACTGACCTTGTGTGATCGCGACACGCCAACTGTGTCGCCCTCCGCCAGCTGATCCAGGTCGGAGCCGTACAGTTCCACCACCGACCTCCCGTCGCGGGACACAGAGCTGCCAGACATGATCTGGCAACAGACCAGTTAGAAGTCAGACCTCAAATTACCGCAGTCATACCACCAGACAGTCAATGATGTTTGGGGGTGTGGGAATGAGAAAACTGAGGATAAGGCAAGCAAACTTGACAGATAGTTCAGTGCTATTGGTAAGCACATGTTCAACTACACGAATTTTGCGCCAGGTTTGGCAGGAGCATACAATGTTTTTTAGTCATTGTTATGTTGGTCTGTGACCAGATTGTCAAAAAGAACACAAACATTTTACAACTGAAACAAAAGTTGTTCAATTTTAAGGCATTCTGAAATAGAGAAGTTGTTTGACCTTCAAAATTTTCAGACATCCCCCTCGAAAAAAAAAAAATATGGTGCAAAATATTATATCCAGCTAAGTAAAGGCTAAGGCTACTGACCTCCTATGTGCTGATTTAGTGAGTGTGTGTGTAATGGGGGGGGTATGTATCATTTTTTTCACATGGTGATGCTGAATTAACAACAATAATAACAATAATAATAAACAAAAGAAAAATGCTTGTCTGGGCTGGTTCACATTCTAGGAACAATCCAGGAGCAGTGTACCACCATAAACCACCAGTTAGGAGCAGACTATTTGACCAGTACAGACCCAGGTGCCACTCCTGAGGTCCATGGCACTGGCCGGCAGTTCCAGTGAGGCAGGGTTGCATGGCGTCACTCCGATCTGTAGACCTCCACTCCATGAGTTCACCTGTGAAGATCCAATGTATGATGTGAGTACAGAATCCTCTATATGTGGAAAATGCCTCATACAATGGGACCAAGCTGTAATATTCTTACTACCCATGTCATTTGTAAACCTTAGCTTTGACAAATGACTTGAGAAGTCTTCAGGAAAAAAGCAAATATTATCAAACATACAGATATAACATAGCAAATATTATAGAAATTATCACAGTGATTTTCAATAGTTAGGCTTAAAGCTGAGCTCAAAACATGGGCCCTGCTCAAGTGTCTGCGGCCACCACAGAAAAGGCAGGGCTTAACTGGCAGCCAATCAGGTTGGTGGGAACTGCTGTCTGTGTGTCACCTAATTGGTGGCTAGCTAAGCCCTGCCTTTTTTATTATCGGATCCACAGCGGCTGCAGACACTTGAACGGCCGTGGTGATCCCTATCACCCAAAGTGAAGGATGACATCAGGAAGTTGAATACAGTAATGATAAACCAATAACACAACCAAAATGCCTAGAAGTTTCAAGAAGCCCATGCTAACTTTGCTGAATAACAAACCTTGACCTAAATCACAAACCCTTTGTGTTGCCTTTGTCAAAATACAATATGAGCTGTATTGCCAATCAGATGCCCGTGCCTGCTGGTCAAAATACTATTTAAAAATAAGATTTTAGATGACCTATTCGTGTGACATCAGCCAAAATGAAATAATATGCAAGAATTTAATATTGAAAAGCAGAAAGCCAACTAAAATACAAAAAAATACGCAACAGAGACATTTATAGCACATACCTTGGCCTCGATTATCACCTCAAAAATTTGATAATCATTCAACGGTGCATGGCTAAAAACAAGTCCATGATTAAATTCATGTGTTGCCGAGCTTCTAACGGCTGTCTTGTTGCTATTTGATAACACAATCAATTCACCGCATCTCGAGTGAAATTTATTCCCCCACATCCCCTCACTCATTTTCCTAAATTGACAACACACCTAAAACGCTGCTATTCGTCCAGCTACTAAACCACTGCTATTTTCAAACATGCACGGAATAAAACAGTGCATGCCCAAGCGCAGCACACCGTTCCGTGCTTCTGTCCTCAGGATACTGAAATCCTTCTCCTCCACGCCGCAATCCCCCTCAGTACCTTGGGGCTGGGTGGTCTGTCCTCTGGACGGAGTCAGTCCCGGTGACTCACTAGCGTGCCTGCCCAGACCAATGTCTCCCCCTACATCCTATCACCCTCCCGGCTCTGAAATGGTCCCATTGGACCGAAAGGGCCTAACCCCCCCCCTCCCCCCAAAAATAGCGCAGCACAATAGTCACCGAATGCGTTTATTCGGTGACTTCTCTTATCAGGATGGAAAAAAATACGTGATTAAAAAATAACGCAGGTCACCAAGCAAACCGAAGGATTTTGGCAAGCCGACGGATTGCCGCCAATGCAGAAACTCACACTTGGCCCAGCTGCAACCAGTTCTCTAATACCGTGCTGTAACCCGGCGGCCGTCAGTGCATATACATACGCCTCGATTGAAGAATACCTTCCAACCCTTTAGTCATTTTTTAGTCTCCTATAAAAAAATAACATTTTATTTATTACGATCCTTTATTGCAAGGATGTCAGCGAAATTGAAAACGACGGTGAGTTGAGCATAAAACAAAAGACGAATGTCTACATCTTTTATATTTCATATTATCCTTCCATCGAAAGCATAGAGAAGTCTGCATAGATAGCACACTGAGAACATCATTACAGGTGCACCTGCTTATGAAAATGTGGGCTATTGACATAAAAACACGAGCGTATCACCGATTAGAACGGTGAAATAAGCCACAACTAATAACACTACATGCATGCCAGATAAAACGCTCGATTTTAGACCAAGTCTACAGTCTAAATCTTGGAAGCTACAGCATAGGAAGGGATCGCAAGAAATACCATTGCAAAACATTACAGAGAGGGTGCGAAATGTTTTGAAGGACGCTGCCAAATGCAAGACGCACTTCATTCATTTTTTCGCGTCGAACAGGACGTGCTTAGACAAAGCATAATCACAACCTTGACTACCTACCATAGCTCGTTCTCAACATATAATGGTACTCAGAAACACTCTCGCCAACAAAGCGGCACGCTTCACTAAAACTCCGATTAACACATCGAGACATTCCTTCCCGGTGTCATTACCATTCACCATCAGACAACGCATTTAGCTCCTGCGAGCCGCTTATACATTATCCTTCCATCCGTACCCGGTTGTAACTATCTTTTCGCACCCCCCCCCCCCCCGACACATACACATACACTGAGATGATACAACACGCACTCCGTCACCCGCCCGCCAGTGATCTCACTCCACCCTCAGTCCTCTCCTCAAGCTGCGCACCCGCCGGGACTCACTGGAGCTGCACCACACCGAAGTCATCCACCTCGTGCGAGGCGTACGTGATGGTACCATCGGGGGAGAGCTCAGCCCCGCCGCTCAGGTCAGCCGCCACGCGCGACGTCAGGTCCAGCGTCTCCACGCGCAGCGCTAGGAAGCCCCCGTAGCCCGGCTGGCCCTTATGGTAGAGTCCGAGGCCGGTGAGCCAGACGGCCGGCCGCGGCGCTACCGGCTGGCTGTCCAGGAACGGGATCGTCGTCTGGGAGGCGTCCCGGTACACGGAGGTGGCCTCGAACTGCAGGAACGTGTCGCTATCACTGTCCGGCCAGCTCGGCTGCTGGGTGAGCGTCGGCACGTCCCGGTCGCCGCCCAGTCGCAGGTCGCGACGCGGTGAGTTGAGAGATGAGGGTGTGTTGTCGTTGGACACCCAGTAGCCCTTGGTGGGGCTCAGCTTGGCCGTGCGGGCCGCGATCGGGGTCACCTGGCCACGGGAGGGGGGAGGGGCAAATGGGTCAAACACGATATTGAATAACACTCGCTTGTTCTAGATAAGTAACCGAAACACAAATGAGCAGATGAGCTTCATATGAGGTTCCTTGAGGTCATGCGTCAACTTTTTTTTGCAAATAATGTATTTTGTGTGTTCACAAGGCCGGAAAAATAAATGTAAAACGAATCGAAGAAGAAACCATTACCAATGCAAGGTAAGCATTCGCCTCCGGGCGTCCATACCTGGATCTCCATGTTGAGGTGTTCGCCGAGCTTCCGGAAGGTGACACCGGTGACCACGTGACCGTCCGGCGCGCGCAGGTCGTCCAGGTCCACCCGACGGCGCTCCCACGACAGCTTCATGTAGTCACGATTCTCAACGTCACTGAAGAAAAACCGGAGTGAAGGTCAGATGACACCTCCGCTGTGGCGTATACATCTGCAGCCTAGCTTATCACTACGTGAACAACGTTATGTCATGTGACGATTTTGACAACAATGATAAGAGCCTCTCAGTACCCCAGTATGCTCATGATCAGTGGTCTAACATATCGCAGTCATATTCACACTCGAACTGACCGCTTGATGTCGATGAGGCTCTTGATGGGTTTCCACTCCACGGTCGAGGCGTTGACGTAGCCGAACTTATCGGCCACCCCCTGCTCGATCTGGATGTAGAACACGCGGTCCTTCTTCACGAACCTGAGGGAAAATGAACAGAAAAGATAAAGATCCTGTACGTGACAACTCGTCAGTCGCGAATTAATTCGCTGGCTGAGCGATTTTGAACTGCGATGGATATAAAGCTTACACTGGATGAGCGTCCTATGAATAATTATATTCAATGACTAATTCAATTCAATATTAAGTTATATTTAAACGATAACCAGAGACAGCGTTATAAATCGGAGTATTTATTCACCGGTCAACCTCAGGTGGCCTCACCTGACCCCAGTGACGACCATGTTCTGGGCGACATCTGCCACGGCCGGCTGGAGGCTGAAGTAGCGGTCCGAGGTCTCGGCGTCGTCACACAGACAGAAGCAATAGGAGCAGTGCCAGAACAGGTTCCTCCACCAACTGTCCACCTGGGCGGGTCAGGGGGTCAGTTGGGCATCAGCGGGACGCTCCTGGATCAGCAGCTTATAGGAAGCAGGCACGGCACTACTTTTACACCCCCGTTGGTGAGCTATGAGCGTAGGATCACGATAACGACAGGTCGAGACAAACACAAACTCGAGAGACTATGCTAGGCTAATCACTTCAACGTCATAACGAATGTCCCATCACAAAATATTGCATTCAATCGAATATCGATAAATAACGGTAATAACGCTGCAGCTAGCCGGCCGCTTGTACCGCCATTCTACATCACTCCTCTTTCCCATAATCTCCCACGGCGGCCTTTCAATCTCCTTTTAGCTTATTCTCCTCCTGTTCTTCACTCCATCAACCTACCTTCCGCGATGAGGAGCACCTGCCGACGCGGCCCAGTTTCTGGCCGTTCTCAAACTCAATCCAGTTATAGCGCCGGTGACTGCCGTCGGTGCCATCCGCGAAGCACACCGTCGAGTCGGCGTTGAAGAAGCGGCAGCTGTGCACCTTGCCCTTGCACGGCCGCTGGTGGCCGCAGATCATGAAGTTGCGTTTCTGTAATCGAAGGAGGTAAAACGAGATGCGTTAGTCAGGTAGCGGAGATTTCAGAATGGTAGAACGTTAGGACGATCGTCTACGTAACAGCGATGATGGCAGATGATACCACATAAGCGATTTTAGTCGCACGAAATCAAATAGATAAAGTTAAATTGTCAGTGCTATTTAAAACAGATATCTTATTCATAAGTAGCCAGCGGAAATCTACAGAATAAACTATTGCTTTAAACCGCTGAACTGTTAAGTGACAACTACCGTTTTTTGCGGTACAAGGTTAAATGGGTGAAAACCAACAATGCAGACTAACTATAGCTACGCTAAAAACAAAACGAAAAGCATGCCGACAGGCACCTACCGTTAATGAAGGTGCGAGAGAAGTGGAGAGCCAACATAGACCGAGATACAACCGTAACCGACTTCATATACAGAGAACAAGAGACGAGCAGCAGGCAAGGGGGCCAAACGCAGGCAACGGGCTGGCCAGTACCATTTCCACCCCAATCACCGGAGGTGGGAGAAAGAAACGCTGGGCGAAGATAGGCGGGAGCACGTTAAAAATCCATATCTACCGTTCACGATATTTTCATGGCTATTATGCTTTTAGGTATCCATAAAATTTTGACACGAATAAAAAGTTGACGGCGAACTTCTTCATGCTGGTCTCCGTATACCTATCGGATAAACATATTCGATACCCTAAAATATATGGTATGGCACACCATTAATCAACGTGCTTATCACACCAGATAAAAGTGCATAGTCCCGACAATCAGGCCTTCATTTGAACTAGTGACGACGGTTCCATTGGGGAAGCTTAGAGCTGATGCAGAAAAGATTACTTTTTACGGGACAACCTCCTCTATAACTAGTTCAAATCCCAGCACCGTCTCTTCCCGCCACCAACACGTTTCTCCAGCCACTTTATACACCCCAACTGATGGCACGTCCCGCTATCACCGCTACGGCATGCTACGCACGACGTGCCGTGCCGGGCCCGTGGCGCCACGTGCCAGCGGGTCACGCGGTCAGCCTGCTTGCCTGCTGCTCCTCCGTGGCGTTGGCAACGTTACCAACCATGTAGCAGCCCTCTCGGCGGGCATGCTGGTAGTAGGCGCAGTTGTTGTTGCAAGTGCCGTCGCGGTTGAGGTCGACCTCGTTCTCCATGTAGCCCTGCAGCAGCTCGGTGACCTGCTCGTACGTCTTGCCCTCCTCGTGTTTGGCGGGGTCGCAGCGCCAGTAGGAGTTGGAGAGGTCCTTGATGACGTGCTGCGCCTCGGAGGCCACCTCGAACGACATCTGCTCGTAGGTCTCGGCCGTGAGACGGGCCTCGACCGTGAACGAGCCTGGCACCAGAGGGGACGGCGTCACACTCCACACATCGCAGAGCAAAGCAATTCGCTAAGAAGTATGAGGTGGCAGGTAAAAGATTGTCGACAAGGCCTTCCATTAACAGAATTATATTTGTATTGCTTTCATCTATTATCTTTAATGCACGAAATGCTAAAACAAGAAAGATTGTCCGTTGTTACTTGCATCTGTATTTGGCTGCACAGGTTTTTCGCTTCTTTTTTGTTATTTTCCTTTTCTTAGCAGGGAGTGTCACGACTTGCATATTTTTGTTTTTGGTGTTAACGTATGGTTCTGTGGTCGTGCGGGACCGTGGGTGGACACTCCTGGTCGTCTGTTCATGGGCGGCGGACTATTTAAAAAAAAAAGTTATTCAACTCATCTTACAAGTATAATTGTTTCCAGTAGCCCTCCGTCCACTCGTCCGTTTGCACAGTCTCCTAAATAGGTATAATGCTAGACCTTGAACACCGTACAAGTCGTTCCGTTTCAATGATCTACCACGCGTTTTCCGAACCCAGCGCGATCCAGTACTCACCCTTCTCATAGAGCCGCAACAGCATGTAGGAGAACTGGATCATCGAGTAGCCCTTGGCCAGTGTGAGCGCCAGGATACCGTACAGGCCGTAGGCCATCTGCTGCGGAGACTGCTGCAGCTCGCACACCATCGACTTGGAGCCCTGAGAGATGAGCAGTTGGTGTGGGAAGGGTCAGTGGGGGAAGGGAGCAAGCGAGGCATGGTGCACGGCGGAGACATAACGTTAGGTAGGCTAGGCAATTAGGCATGGTGCACGGCGGAGACGTTAGGTAGGCTAGGAGTTAACAGTGCAAAGGTGTGAAAACCCTTCGTTTGCCTGATTTTAAGACATTTGCATCGATATTCCCAATACTTGCTTTCTACCTAAGGAAAATTAGGTATATTTGTATGTAGTAAAACATATAACAAACCACACAATAGAAAAGAGTGACGCATCTTTTACGTGTTGTCCCCTTACCTCGCAACCCGCCGCTCAATCAGCTCTCTGACAGGCCCCGTTTCACTCACCGTCAGCACCGTCTGCAGCTGTCTGAACAGGCCCTGTTTGAAGGCGTACCGCGTGTGCCGGTTGTGCGGCCCCACCCGCATGCCCAGCCCCTTGGCCAGGTGGTGGAGGTTGGACATGGTCGACTGCAGCGAGTGTGGGTCGTGCGACACGGCGTGCGTGGCAAAGTCCTCCAGGGTGTGCCGCTCGACGGTGTTGTTATGCTGCTGGTAGTACAGGAAGCGGCCATAGTTGCTGCCGAGCGGGGAGACAAACAACATGGTCAGAGGATGGACACAATGAACACAGTTAACAGCTTTATAACACATGTTTGGGGTGTAAAGATGACCACAGTGGTTTGCAGCGGTTTCGAAAACGGAAATGTTACGGTTGGCTGCATCTCACACAACTGTTCAGAGCGAGAAAACGAGTGCTACAAACCGGAGGATGCTTTCCTTGGGAAAATTCAAACACAAGGGTGTCAATGCCCCTGTACCACATTCTATACACCTAAAGATCTGACGGTGTACAAATGAAGTATCTTATCAAAACCTTGTCCGAAATCCAATTACAAGGACACGCGTCTTGGCGGACAGGTGACGTCAGCAGCCGCACGTGCGCTCGATAAAACGGTCGGCACGTGCAAGACAGGTGGTGTGATCGGCTTACATATACCGTGACCACACACAAACGGGACAACCACAGAACAACACAGTTACGCAAGACACGTGCTGAGCATTACCGTCAGCTTGGGCGGATTTAGCGACCACGGGAACGAAACGTCACGCAAAAAAAAATATAGAACACAGAGCTCAATTAACTACGTAGATATTTGAGAATGTTAAGTTTATAAGTATTGAAATTATAGATAAGTAAAAGCATGATATCTAAATTTATGTCCCTATTTTGCAACTCAAATAATTGCGCGGCGATAATTAAAAACTGTCATTTTGATATGCATACAGCTTCCTTCCCACCCACTCCTGACAACATCCCGACAAGCTTACACAGTGTTCAAAGAAAGTATAGAAAGTATACAAGCCGATATCAAGTAAACCAACAGCCTACCCTGTACTCCGTGTGGAAGAACATATTCAACCACCTCCCTTCTGCAGGGTAAGTATCGCTTCTTCCTGCATTTACCTATCGTGTTGGTCGCGAGCGCAAAAATAGCATGCGTTCTATATTTTCCTTGGTCGTGTCCAGCTTACTTTCACTCGAACCGAAGGCCTCAAGACCGTTCACACAGCAAACGTAGCATAGAGTACAGAGTACAACCCATGAGTGCCGATAACTATAACTGGCAGACAAATTGGATGCACATTGCTTACATAATCTAGCACTGACACCATACGGTGCCAGCAATGTAGCCATACCATACTACTCAGTGCAGAGCTCACAGTCCGACCAGGATCGTGCCCGGCTGCGCAGTATAAACACCACACTGCGTCATGGCACTGTATACCTACTGTATATGTTAGCGAAGTGTCGTCGACCGAGTCATGACAACGATGTGCATAACATCGCTCGAATAATAAACGTTAAAAACAGAGCGCAAAACCCGTCAGCATGTCATATGGTGCCGGGCCTCAGCTAATATCAATGTTACATCGTACTTACGAATGCTCGTGGAAATTAAATCACAGCTCACAAGCAAGCTGACATATTAAAGTGTACTGAAATAAAAAAAAAATGTCATGACCGGGTCTCGAACCCGCTCCCGCCGCACACGGTGCCTCACCTGTTGATGGGTCGCAGCAGGTTCTCCATGGTCTCCACAGTGAGCTCCCAGCGCACCTCGGCCTGCGCAGCGCCCTGGATCTGCCGCAGGCTCTGCTGCATGGAGCGCATGTTATCCTCCAGGCCCTGGATTGTGTCGCTGAGCTGACGGAACCGGCCGAGGAGCTCCGAGTCGCTCGAGCCGGCCGCCAGAGTGCCGGATAGGTCGGGGATGGTGACGCCGGTCTTGTTGGCGAACAGGTCGTTCCAGGTGGTGGTGATGAACTCAGCTACACCCAGAGCTGCCGTGGAGAGAGGGGAGAGGGGAGAGAGGGGCGGGAGAGTGCGGCGTCAAGTCGGTGAAGTGTGGCCCTCGTCAGAGGGCAGTAACCGGTCCTTAGCTGGAACAGTGGAAGGCGAGCCTTGGAGCACGATTAAGGGCTACTCGTAGTCATATTCAAAGTTTTATTGTTCATGCTTGGCTCTATTCTACAAGCTCGAGTCTATATCGCAAAGAAACTGTGATCAGTGATATACATACACACATTCACTGAGACGGGAATGACACAGATAGACGTGACGAGGTGTCCGTTTCGACACTTCGCCAGAGGCAAATTGAAACAGCACCCCCACATTACCGTGACTTGTGTTCTCAACAACAAGCTCTCGGGCACACCTTTAAATGCACCTAGTAAATGCCATGGCACGACCGAAACCAGAGCACGCCTGGCTTGGGCTTCTCAACTACCAGTCCAATGGTTCCCCCGGTATTTACCTGTGCGGATCAGACTGCCGACCTCCATGACCTCCAGCTGAGCCGAGACGCCCGGGCTGCTGCCGAGCGCCGCCAGCAGCAGCAGCAGGGCTACCGCCACACGCATCCTGGCCGTCCGTCTGCCGTCGGGACGAGCAGGGGCTCAGTAGGGCCGGCTGAGGTCTCTGGAGGAGACGGAGGTGCGTTAGGTCAGGTGGAGGCATGCGAGTTGAAGATGTGAGATGCTACATGCCCAGTACAAATATAGGAAATTGGACAGTCATCAAACAGCTCTATATTTTTCGTCTAAGCCAGCCGGTAACAGGCAGCATCTGTCCCTATGTTGACCCTGTCAGTCAGCCGAGTGAACCATCCCCATCTCCGTTTACACGCGTCTCCGATCCTGCAGTCATACTCAGTTTGTACGGGTGACACGCACCACCTCCAACCCCGCCGGACCGGTCCAACAGGCCCGTGACGTGACGCACGTCACGATAACCACAGCATCACGGCCCGCTGCCCCGTCTGATCGCCGTCCGTGACGTCACGCTACACTCTACCGAGCTAGATGACTGCGTGGGCGGCCCGGGTTAGCCTCGCCACAGGCCTTAGAGCACAGCGAGCTATGGAGCACACCGCTCGCTTACCCCCAAGCTCAACGACCGGAGACGCCGGCATGGCCGTGTTTCACGGAGCGCTGCCAGCGCTGTTGGCGCTTTTGGCTTCATTTGTTTGTTTGTTTTGTTGGGTTAGGCCCTTTCGGTTAGACCATTTCAGAGCCGGGAGGATGATAGGATGTAGGGGGAGACATTAGTCTGGGCAGGCACCCTAGTGAGTCGCCGGGGCTGAGCCCGTCCATAGGACAGGCCACCCAGCCCCAAGGCACTCACTGCACCCGGCTACGGGGTGCGCTCCCTCGGGAGCAGCGGTGCCGCTCCAAGGGAGCAGCCCGCATGAGATAAAGTTGCCTGTCCAGCCCGGAGGGGGTAGCGGCGTGGAGGAAAAGGATTTCAGTTTCCTGAGGATAGAAGCACGGAACGGTGTTTTGGCTTCATACTTGTTACACACTACCCCTATATCTCCAACACTACGGTAGTGCGTAACAAATATGAAACCAAAAGCGCCAACAGCGCTGGCAGCGCTCCGTGAAACACGGCCCTTATGGGTTTCGGTTAGCTTTCAGACGCTCCCAGGTCACTGTTTGAAGACTGTCATGACTCCACAGAGGTGATGTGAGAGTCACGCTATAATACGCATTCATCGCTCAATAGGGTTACCGTGACCCGCATGTCACACAATGTTTCAACAAGAAATACTTCGCATTCTGTCATCCAACAGTCAAGGACCGACGTCGCCATATCATACATATCTGCGGCGCTCTAGATGAGACAGCCGGCCGCACCTGGGCTATAGGCAGATTTCGTGAATCACCCCCGCCCCAGTAAAGGTGCAGCGACCGCCCGCCTGTCCGCCGCTGACCGTGAGAGGCCAGCCGCGATTTCGGCTCGGGTCCGTGAGTCACCACGCCCATAATGGGCGACTCGGGAAAAAAACAGCCGGAGGCGGGGGCAGCGCGGCACGCCGGGTGCTGAGCCGGAGGCAGATGTGGGTGTGTCTGCTGGTCGAACAAAACTGTAACGGCACGGCAGGTGCTGCGGGTCGATGCAGCCGCAGGGAGGACGGAAAGGTGTGTCGGTGTGGGGTCATGGCGGCTTGCTACTGCGCAGTTGTACTGGATGGTGATTGCCCGGTAATTGCCCCGTGAAATATTTGTGGCTAATGGACCGGACAGGGCGCACGTGATACAGAATGACGTTTTTCGCACCAAGTCCGTGATTCGACTGAAAAATGCATTTATATATTCCACGGTAGGAGTCTGTTTCACACGGCATGAATTTAACAGCCATTATGCCAGATCACGGAATTCAGCTGTCGGAATCCTCACCTGCACATTTCTGTGTCAAAATCTCCATCTGTGATTCACACCACCCACAGGTCAGACGGGTGCCAGTGAGCGGCCGTACCAAACCGTACCGAGAATTCCAGCGCCGCGCCGCGCCGGGTTGGGCGGCAGTCCGTGTATGTGCGTTAGTGGTGAGTCACCGTATTACGGTGACCTCACCTGGCCAATGTCTGGCACACACCGGTCCTGGGCGGGCTCTACTCTGCGGGCGGGCCGTCTCGCACCAACTCCCGCCAGTGCGATCAGTTCCGCTCAGGGTAGTTCGTTCCGCCTTACAAGGCACGGTATGGAAACGTCGAACCTCGCGAAGCGCGGTTGCGGAGGGCAGGTATGTCTCGGCTAGGAGGGATCGGAGGGATGACCAAGGTAAAAGAAACAAAATTTCCTTAGAGTGCTTTGTGGAAAAGACCGAGTGAGGTGTTATGAGACTTGCCTTGTATGACTTCATGTGACGGCTCATCGCGAAATGGTGTTTCCTGTCCGTCAGTCGGGTCTGATATCAAAGTCGGTACAAATGCGATTCCCTAGCGCAATGCAAATAAGCCTAAGCAGCCATTGATGGAACGGCATACAATACTAGAATGTCTTTACGGAAATAAAGGAAGAACAAAGAAGCCAAACAGGGTAGAATACGGAAAAAGTCGAGAGCTGACGTCGACCGGACATTTGTGAAACAATGCCCAGGTTACATAAGTGGAGCGCCACACTCCGCCCGCAAACGAGTAGTTTTAACCGGAGCTCCGAGCTAGTTAGACCTGGCGTGACTGAGTTGAAAACATGAGCCGTCAAAAATGATGAATCATGCGTAAATGAGTTGGATCACAGAGCCAGAAACCACGTAAGCTGTCCATAAACAGTCGGCTATCAAGTACAGCAAGAGCCGCATCACTTGCAAACCGTCTCTGAAAACCGCGCACCACCCTTAGAAGGAGGGGAATCACACACTAGTAAACGGGCAAGAACGGCGTTCCGGGAACCACCAGCAATACAAACTGTCAAACACCGACTTGATGAATACCATTAAGTATGGCTGCACTGGAATCGCTGTCAGACTATGGAATGCCTTAGTGTTTAAACATGATCTTGTTCAGGCACAGTGCGACAGAGGCCTCTCTAGTTCAAAGGCCTCTGAGGCCTCAAAACGAGAGTGAAGACTCCTCGAAACCACACCCAACAAATCCCAGACACCACCTCGCGTTGCACCACAGCGAGAAGGATTCACTGAGGTAGAAACCAGCAAGACCCATGTCACGCGAAGCAGGCACGCCATGTGTAACAAAAGACGGCCTTTCGTTCGTCGAACCTTTGTGCCTTCCACCGACGTTCACAGTTTGGCACTAGACAAATGGACAATACTTACAGTCTACACACACCATCTAAACGGAATATGGCATAATTCATGCACCACCTATCGACTCTGCAGAGCAGGAATTCAAAAACAGATACAACTATACAGGCTCGGACTTCGACGCGTCGTATATCGGTATGTCTGGAAAAAAAACACACACGCTCGTCGTTTAACATGAGACAGCGGGGAGAGGCTAGAGGGGCCCACCCGGCGGCCCCAGTACTTCCACCTACCATCCCCTACCCCCTACTCCCCCCCCCCCCGTAATCGGTAGCGGTGCATAAAGTCAGCTGACGCCAACGCCCGAGCCCGGTGGGGCCGAGGCGACTGGGCGGCGTGCCACAGCACCGAGAGGGTGCTGCGGCCGGCAACACAGCGGACAGGGGCAGCTGGACCGACCGCGACTGTCACACACGGACAATGCCAGACTCTGTCGGCAATATGCGCTGCCAGGGAACCAGCCAGCGAGCATCCTGTTACTACGGGCTGAAAAGCCTCTGACCTTCAAAGCCATTGATATCGACACAACTAGCAGCTAACAAGTATCAAACGCGTCCGTATAAATAGGTCGAAGTTTGGAGAAAACGCTGAAATGATAGTGTGGACGGCAACGCATTATTACCTTTTGAGAATGACATTATCTGACAGGTGCCCTTCGATAACACAGTGAACTCTTCCGTCCCAAAGTGGAGTGATGCGTGGTGAGGTTATATCATGTTTATACAACATATTACGAACTAACTCACACACGCAATAGCCCAAAGGTCACAAAACTTACGAAGAATCTCCCTTTTGATAACAGTTTATGACTTTAGTTAGACGGCTGACGGTCCGAGCTCGGGTGGCCATGTGGGTCAGGAAACGTTTGTTTATACAGGTGTCCCTCCACCAGTGCCCCCGGCCGGAGCAATACGACACAGGGGCCGGCCTTTGACCACTCCGAGACGGGGCAGCGGCACAAAGAGCGAGTCGGGAAGACGGCGTGACCTTCCCGGCAGTCGGCCACACCAGCGTCGGGAGACGTTTTTCCACGGATTACGCCTCCGACCGCAGATGGATCGCTAGTTCCCCTGTAACTTTGTAAGAGTCTTAGTTCCGCCGACCAGCCGCGTTAGATATGTGGGCAGAAAACCGCGATAGCTCTGGACATAAAGCACAGAACGTCTGGCACATACGGTGCTCCGCATTACTGATAATGACGCCAGCCGCCAGGACGTGCTACGATGTGACAAGGACTGATAAAGGCACAAGGTGATCAGTGGCTAGAGTATGCCCGCAATACCACCTCGCCTTTAATAATTTATCGATCACCGATGCATGGTAGGGGAATGGCAGAATAAAGGGGATATATCACCGTACCGCGTCAGCACGATCATTTAACATGACGGTCAGAATTAGGGACCAAACCAGGCGGGGACAAATGATGGGCTGACCCCAGGGCCGCCCGGACAATTTGATTGCCAGAATAGCGCATTGCAACATAGCCGAGGTTGCAAAAACGGCATTCCAGGAACCGGAAGTTGCGGTGGAGGCACCCGACATCCTGTTGTCGGCACGCCCAAAGGCTGGCATGGTGCAGCGATTGACAGTGACGGTAAGCTGGGCGATGAAGCGACACCGTAATCAGCGGACGGTACGGTTCAGGTCAAGACCAGCGCGGTGGTGGGGAGTCGGCATCCGCTGTAAATCGATAATCAAGGTATGCCGGCTCAGCAGAGCGCAGACTGCCCAGCACAACCGGCTAAAGGCAGCGTCACAACCAAACACATTGGATAGAAGTGAAGGCGACAAGGAGGAGCAAGGAGTGGCATGGTTGTAGCTGTGCCAATGTTTCTAGTTTCCGTCTGACAGTCTGACTCTTTCTAACAGTTTCCATGCACTTATTCTTTCTTTCTTCTGACAGTTCAGACAGTCTGAGTTCAAGGTTATTCCATCAACGTAAGAAGCAATGTCAAAGGGAGCAGATCAGAGCCGCATCATGCCGTACAACGAGCGTCAATAAACCTGCAGCAAACAAAGCGGAAGCCAAGGAGGAACTGATGCCACCGGTTCACCGCCTGCCTAGCCGGTTTGTTGTGACCCAGAGGAACTGTGGCCTCAGTTAGAACTTTCACTGGTCGGGGTCGAGGCGCGGTGCCGGACACAAATGTCCGTGAGATGTCACGATTTCTGGGTGTGAGTCACTGTTGATAATGGTTGATTGGCCGAGTGCAAGCTTTCTCGAACATTCTCCCAGGCTTATCAGTAGCTTATCCTCCATCAACTCAAAGCCCGTCCAGCTTCTGTTATTCCTCGGCTGTGATTCCGTTATACGATGACGTCGCCTCCCGTCCGCGGTGAAATTGGGGTGACGTCACTGAATGGAACCAGTCGGTGACCTCTGTCCGAACTGTGTCCCCCCCTCCCCCCACGCGAGGCAGGTGCACCCTCCCCCAGCGGTGGCACGGCGCGGCACGAGCTACGTCACCGCTCGGCGGCTCAGTTCTGCCCCAGTGAACTCAGCTGAGTCGCCTGCCGACTCAGCAACACTGACCGGAAACTTAGCAGCACGAGTCGCCAGCTGGGGCTGACCACCAAACACACGAACACGAAATTCCCACCTCGCCGGGCGCCGTCGATCGTATGGCATAACGACAAGGGTCGTGCTATCAGCAACAGGCGACGCAGTCGGTGCATGCAAGATCGGACAGGTCTCTGCCGGGAAACGAGGGCACTGATTGTCCCCTGGTTTCCACCTTATAAGTCGACAAAATTTGTCTGTTCTGGCTCGCCAAGTGCCATCTGCCTTGCTGGTCAGCGATAGAGCCGATAGCAGTGGTCACCTGACACCGTGCCGGCCAACAGCTCAAACTGGACAGTGGACCTTGACAGCCGACCTATCGTGCGACGTACTGGTACTGTCACCGGAGCGGGCGTGTCACCTGACACCGAACTCAAAGGTAATCCAACAGGTAACAGATGTCACTCCTCGACTCAGCTTGTTGACTTATGAGCAACAATAATGTGTGCTCAACGACATGGTGTAAGCTAAGCGACGCAGTAATGCAAGACAAGGGGACTAATTTAATTCAGACTCACGATGAAACACCGAACAATACCTGCTCATTGCAGTGTGAGCACTGAGCTCGCATACTGCATACATACCTACAGCACGGACGGGGTGTCAACACTGACCTGACTGAAGTCTGAAGCCTCTGAAGTTCTTCTGCCAGCTGCAGCCAGTAGCCTTTCAGAGTTCTCCTGGTCTGACGCTCTGACGCCGTCCTGGGACCACCCCCGCGAGCACACACTCCTCGCGCGAGGACCGGCGGCCGACTGCCGCGCCGTCGCGCCGCGGTCGGTCGGCCCCATCCCGGCAACAAAGCCTCCGGTGGAGTCACGTGATCTCTGTGGTCGGCCACGGCGGGTGACACGTGACAGTACGGCGGCGGCTGGCGGCAGCGGACGCGGTCCCTTCAAAGGATGGCACGTGGCGAGCGTGGGCTGAAAAGGAGGGGAACGGGAGGAGAGGAGGGTTATTGTTCCGGTAGCACATACCATGTCAGGCACTGATTGAGACGGGGTAGGGTAGGGTAGGTAGGCGCGCATGGCTCGAGGGCGAGGGCGAGTCTGTGGAGAAACAACAGGGGCGGAATGGCAGGGGATGGTCTATCTACACTCGATGGTCCATGGCCATGCTGCGCTCGACAGAAGATAATCGAAAACGCATACACTTTGGCGCAGAGGGGAGTCACAAAAGACAAATTGCAGCTTCATAGATATTACTCCCCCACATAAAAATCCCTGGTTTCAGGCAGCCCTGCAACGTTTTCAGAATGGTGATAGATAGCAACCATCAATAGAGCAGAGAAGCCCTATCAACATCTCGGGAGAAGGGCATATCATATTTTCAAGATGACATCCAAACGTTCAAATGGCCATGCTGCGCTCGACAGAAGATAGTTGAAAACGCATACACTTTGGCGCAGAGGGGAGTCACAAAAGACAAATTGCAGCTTCATAGATATTACTCCCCCACATAAAAATCCCTGGTTTCAGGCAGCACTGCAACGTTTTCAGAATGGTGATAGATAGCAACCATCAATAGAGCAGAGAAGCCCTATCAACATCTCGGGAGAAGTGCATATTATATTTTCAAGATGACATCCAAATGTTCAAGCGACGTTTCAAGAACAGAGCAGGTACAAACTGCAACAAATTGGGCGAAACAAAAAGGAGCGAAAACACATTCTTGACGCAACCATCTTCTGCTGACTGCTCTTTTCTTCTCGGCACATTGGACGACGTTGGAGGGAGGCCTGAATAAAAAAAAAACATCAGTTGAAAAGTGAAATCATTTCGGCAACACTGATTTGATGATCTGATCTATGTTCATTGTTCAACCTCACTGGCCGTTCAGAATGTCACTCTCGCTTGGCACTGGCGGATCCAGGGGGGGGGGGGCGGGGGGCATTTGGGGCAAATATCCCCCCTCCCGCAGCGCCCGAAATCGACAATTGCGAGTTTTCGACAATACAACGAAAACAACTTTTATTAGGAAAAAATGTTTTAATCTGCACAGCAATGCGTAAAGAATCAAAATCCGGCTAGTTTTTGGAATTCGGAGACTTTTGGGGGGGGGGGGTATGATGCCCCCGCAGCGTCCAAGTCCGCCTGATCTGGGCCCGCCAGTGTCGCTTGGTCACATTTCCAGGAAAAATCTGGAACGATCCGGCTTATAGCAGAATGAGGGGATGAACCTTGAATTCGATCACTGACTGGCTGATGGCATCATGAAACACTGCTGCTCACAATGCACATATGTAGGTTGAAGATTCAATGTAACGCTGAGGCCCGAGCATTACCTCAGAGCTGTGACCTAACCGGTCACAGCTCTGAGGTTGAAGAAGTGCTGTGACCTAACCGGCTTGAAGAAGTGCTGATGTATTATGGATTGGCGTTGGATTCGACGGAAATGGTAGGGGAGAGTGGGGTAAGATGCCCAGGGTGGGAAAGACGCCCCACCCCCTCTAGCGGCGAAACAAAGAATCGAACCTGGAAATTAATGTTCTTAGCGTAAAGCGGAAGCCTGCCTTGTTAACTGCACAAAAATTTGCGAAGCTCAGTTGGGCAACGGCTGGCTGGTGATTGCATGTTTTTTATTTGCTGCTTTCAAAAAATATTTTAGTGTCAAAACATTGGAAATATCAAAGAAGGTAGATAATTTCTGCGTCCCTTGCTATAGCCGTGATATATTAACATGCGTGTACTGTGTCCCAAACAGTTTGTTTCAGGGTGTAGTTTTATGGCTAACAAATTGTACTGATTTAATGTTACTTCGGTACCTTGGGGTAAGATGCCCCCTGTCCTGATGGGGAAAGACGCCCCCCTGAATCCGTAGGCTGTCCTTCAAGCAGCCCGTCAAATCATTTATGACATACTTGTGATGAGAGACAAAAGCCGATCTGGGACTATTGAGAGTCCAGTACGGTCGGGTGATCCCCATGCCGGTCTCTCGGCCCACACAGCGACTTTTTGGGCGGCATCTGACTCTGAGAGCCCTCACGACGGCCTCTGTGGGCCCCATTATTGGCTCCAGGGCCCCTCATGACATCCTTTGAGGGCTCCCACGTTGGCTCCACGGGCCGCGCTGGCATCTGAGGTCCCCACGATGGGCTCGAGGGCCCTCAAGCATCATGAAGACCTATAAGGGCCCCACAGTGGTCTCCGAACGCCACCACGGAGGCTTGTTTGGCCGCGCTGGACTATGATGGCCTTAACGATGACCTCTGAAGCCCCTTACGACTACTTTTGAGGGCCCTTACGATGACTTTTGGTGTCTACTGCAGGCTCGAAGGGACTACTGATTCGTTCAGGCGATTCACGTGCCCATTTATGTCACTTACAGTGCAGGGGGCATCTTCCCCAACGCCAGGGGGCGTCTTTCCCACCCTGTGGGGTAAGATGCCCCCTTTCACTTCTTCCAAAAAAGTTATCATATTTCAGGCACGAAAGTGTGATATTTTTGGAGAAAAATGATGTCGGCTTCCGTTGAAACTCCAAGTTTTTGCTCTCCGATCGTCATTTTCGAATAATATATGACATAGTAAAACCCTGGGCATCTTTCCCCACTCTCCCCTACCTACCTGTCTGATGCAATTATTCGAGCAGCCTGTGGCACCATGAAACAAGCGTGGTGATTCCCTGGCATGTGCTCCCCCTAACACTGGTCACTGGTTGTTTCGATGTGCCCGGGGGTACCAACAGCAAAGGAAGACGATGCTGAATATAATGACGGCGACCAGGGGAGCCTGAAAGTGAACGACACGACCTCAACAGTCAGCCAGGTTAGAACAAGCGCTACTACGTCGTATCCCAATACAATACCAATACTGATGCACACCCTTTGGCCGTCGACCGTGCCTCATTGAGTCGAATTTCAGCCGCATTTTCCGGTGGTTTCGTCAATCGGCTGCCCTGGCCGGGCGGGCGGGAGACCCGCAGGTCACCGGCCCAGTCGGACGCCGCTGATGGATTCGACCTGCGTCCTACGCACCGCTGAGGACGTCCGCGTGAGTTCATCGAGTCACGACAACCAGACGACGGTTTACAGCGGACTGCTTTGATCGCAAAGCCATCTCATCAAACTAACAAGCGTTGACATGTAACTTGATTTAGACCGGTTGTTTGAGTGAGGCAAGGGTTAAGGCCTAAGGGCACCTCTACCCTCTGCGGGACTGCGATCAATTGTTCTCACATGGTGCTCCAATAAATTTTTCGAGAGAAGAGGATCTTTGAAAAAACCCAGTGCAGTCGCACACTCAATGATCCAGAAAACTGAAAAGTATCACAAAGGGATCCTCGTCTGAATAGGTATCCGGAACATTGCAAGCCAGTTCCGAGTTTACACGGTCGTCCACTGCAACACTCGTTGCAATGACGTGGCGGAAGCCCGGCGGCCCGCGGTTCGTAATTCGGTTCCCACGCACCGATAGGCCCCGGATGCGGTCAGCTGGCCCCGCCCACTAGGTCATCGCCAGCTCGTGACTTTCAGTATTATAACGTGTCACGTGAGGTCAGTGGAAACGACTACTGGATAGTGGATAGTGACGATCAGTTACACCCGTGGGAAAGGAGTGGCACGACGTGAAACCGTAACTGGAACACGCGAGTCACATCCAGCTTCTAGTTAGTTCTGAAAAAGGGTTTTCGAGGCTATGAAAAATAACACTGCCTTGGCTTGAATGGTGGCATTCGCTTGCTGGCCCGCTGTGCTGCGCTCGTCATGTCGAAACTGTTCACGTACTGTCTGTTTACGTTTACGTCTGTTTACGTACCAATTGCAAGTGATTTGTCGAAGTTGTTGTGACAACTTTTTACATTTACGTTTAAATCAGATAAACTTGCCTGCTGCACTTGGCACCAGAAAAATGACCGAATGAGTGCACCAGGTGACAGTGTCACATCTGTCCCGTCAGTAGATCTAATAACCCCACCACCCGAACACAACAACAGCCGTGCCCTTTGACCCCATCCCGTCGGAGCAGAAGCCCGACCCGGTCACATACCGGGACCGTGTGACGGGTGCTCGCTGGCGCCATCTGAGCCTGTCCTCGGTGCTGTCGTCAGCAGACGGACAAGTCGACAGCGGTTCCACCGACGGTCTGTCTGTCATCCAGCTCCGGAGAGCTGGGTCTGGACGGGATACAGGCCAGACCAGACCACCCGGGTCTGTTGACACGGAGATGGGTACTCTGCAGGAACGGATAGAGCCAAGGACAGTGTGTATGTAGAACGCTCAGGGCACTGGGTGGTGTCGGTGAAGACAGGACAAAGCGAGGACAGACGGACGGGCGGTCAGAGAGAGCACTCGTTCAATGAACAGATGATAACGGATAATAACTCTGTTGTAAGAGCGCGCCACGTAGTGACGGATCATATCAACGAACAGGAAGAGAGTAGAACAGCATATAAAGCTAGAGCAGTCTGCCATCAGACGTGAAGTGTGCGGGCTTTCCGACAAGGAATGTAAGCATTGCTAGCACAAAAACAAAGCTGTCTGGTGCAGCTGACAGTAACTGAATTCAACTGCAGCCGAGTGACGTACAACAGGCTGTGGCGTGGACAGCTCGGGCGCCTTCAGAGTGTACGTTTAACGGTGGTGTGCGTTTCTCTCAACTTACTGGTTCGTGACGGGAGGTAACCCGAGCCGACATCGGGCCGGCACGAGCAGGCAGGGACGGATGAATTCCTCGGCGGTAGGATGGGTACCACGGCGGCAGGTACCGAAACGCCCTGGGGAGGGGAGGATAAAGATAGATGAGGAGATCCACGCGCTCAATGGATGGCTGGGGAGGGGGCCGCATGGCAAACAGATGTGGTACAAGCATGGCATGAAATGGATACCAGATGGGGACGACAAATTGCTGCGCAGTCTGAGCCGAGACGATAAACTAAACAAGCGGTTGCTGATATGAACCGGTCATGAACCTCTCAATAATACACAGATGTGGACGTGGTGTTCCCAGTAAAAGGTTTGCACAAACAAGTATTTTACATTTATTGCACTGACATACTTCTGAAGGTTAGCAAAAGCAGTATAAATGCTGGTAAAGGCAACACTTGTTTAGCACAGGAAGCTCACGGACACCAAGTAATACTACAGTAGGTAACAAAACTGAAAACAAAAAATGGCACCGTCATGAAAAAAAAGAACCAAAACCACCGACGCGTTTCCAACCTGACGCTGACTAGCCTCAATGAGTGCGTTCGTCACAGCGCGATACCTCTACAAGACGAACGGCTCCTCAGCGGTGACGCTTAGGTCACGGACGCTCGTGTCGCGTAGAGAGCCTGGTAACTTACAAAACCCATATGGCAGGATCACGAGAGTTCGCGGCGCTTGAGCGGTAAGTACATTACAGTCTGGTCGATCACGGAGCGCTGACACCATCAGTTGATATAGACGCTCGGCACAATAGGAGAGCTGTTTGCTGAGGAGACCGGTCACCCAAGGTCTTATATACAAATATAGCGAGCAAGTGACACACCAGTCAGGCTCGACTGTTCCCTCTCTGCGAGGGTTGTGTTCGCTATTAGGAAAATATACAGTAACATATACAGTCAGTGGCCGGAACATTACGATGACAGCACACTTAGCAACAGCCAACAGCGATACCGTGTTTCAACACAACATCCAGCGCGACGGATATTTTGATCACGCTCGCTCTATATATGTATGTTACAGGGAGTTTGAGAAGTATGTGAGTTTGCAAACTCCCTGACCCGTCAGTGAGTTCGCAAACTCACTAGGGAGTTAAAAAAGTCCCTAGAGTTTGCAAACTCACTGACCGGTCAGGGAGTTTGAGAACTTTCAGAGCGATTGGGACAAATAAAAACAAGTGTGTAAGATGAGAGTGGCATACCTACGTGCCGTCCGTGATGTTAAGACAAAGGCGGCTGGTGGTAGGACCTATATAAACGTCGCACGCTGAAAAAAAGCTTATAGATCCTTGATTTTTATCAGAAAAAAAATACTTCTCGCGGCTAGGTAGTATTCGGAGGTTCGGAGCAATGTGCTCCAGTCGCAACTGGCTGCCAGCAGCGCCGGCTCTCGATGAAACGTCCATGGCGGAGTGAGAATGGGCGTGAATTGGTGCGTGTGCCTATACTTTAGCATAAGTGACCAACTGAGCTGTTTCTACTTTGATATATTGAGCCTGTCTCTGGAATAGTGTGGAACGGATATAATTGGGCCGCAAACTAAATAAATGTACGACTAAATAAAGCGGCGGTAGGTACATGTTTGGACTAGAGCACTGAGCAGTTTAAAATCAAAAGAAGGTATTTATGGTGTGCATTTGATCTATAAGCTTTTTGTCAGCGTGCGAGGCCCCACAACTACCCGCCTTTGTTTTAGCATCACGGACGGCACGTATGCCACCCACATACTACACACTTGCTTTTTATTTGTCCCAATCGCTCTGGTATTTCTCAAACTCCCTGACCGGTCAGTGAGTTTGCAAACTTCTAGTGAATTTGTAAACTCCCTAGTGAGTTTGCAAAATCACTGATGGGTCAGAGTTTGCAAACTCACGGATTTCTCAAACCCCATGTAACATGTACATTGAAGTCATGTCACACCCGTGCTTTCTCACAACACTCTCAACAAAAGGCTCACACTTTCCGAGCCAGAGTCAACCTCGCTCACAGTTCAGCTCATTTTACCACTGGCGCCACTTGGCCACACAGCTCAAAACAGAATCATCACTCACAATGACGTCAAAGAGCTCATCACCGCACACGCCATTTCTCCGCCTTCTACCACCACTTCCGCACATTTATCACTGGTCAGCGCTCACGACTTCGCCTCGGTGCCGAAGAACCGGTCGCCGAAGTTTCCGATGCCGGGGATGACGTAGAACATGTCGTTGACATCTGGATCCACGGCTGAGGTGATGATACGCACCTTCGGAAAGGCGTAGGCGATGTTGTGTACGCCAGAGCGTGCCATCAGGAGGGAGCAGAGGAAGATGCGGTCCTCGGGGACGTCGTGATCGAGCAGGACGCGCAGAGCCATCATGGCGGCGGCGCCCGTGGCCACGGTGGCGTCCATTAGGAACACATAGTACTCCTTGATGTCGCGCGGCAGGCGCAGGTAGTACAGCTCCGGTTCGTCCGTCTCGTGGTTGGTCTGGATCAGCATCTTGCCGATGCGCACGTCCTTGCAGACCTCACAGAGCGCCTGCTCCATGGTCTCGCCGGCGCGCAGAATGCTCACACCGCAGACGCTGCCAGAGTCCAGCCGCAGACCCGAGTACGGCCGGCCCTGAGGGGTGTCCACAGACACCTCGCGGAACGGCAGCAGCGAGAGCGCGTGCTCGATCGTCAGACGCATCAGCCGCTTGCTGTAGAAGATGAACTCGTCCCGCTGCGTGTTGCGATCGCGGATGAACGTGTGAAGACCCTTGATCTGATGCGTGCTCGGCAGGAGGTGGAGTGTGCGCGGCTCCTTCTCCGACTGGTGGTGACCCTTGGCCAGTTTCTCGCGCAGCCGCAGACCCCGCTGCTGCAGCTGAGAGGTCACATGCTGCACGATCAGGTTGATGGCGATCGTGTTCTCGCCGCCGCGAGGTACGATGATGTCGGCATGCACCATCGACGGCTGGATGTAGTGGTCGAAGGCAGGCTTCACGAAGCGGTCGTACTGCTGGATCACGCCCTCGACATTTCGGCCACGTTCCTTGACGTCCCGCCTAAGCCGACGCGCCAGGCGGATGTCGGAGTCCGTGTCCACAAACACCTTCATGTCCAGCATGTCCAGGACGCGCTTATTGTAGAACGCCATGATGCCTTCGAAGATAATGACGTTGGCACCGTAGATGGTCTTGGTGGTGCTCTCCCGCTTGTGCGTAACGAAGTTGTAGATGGGCACGTCAGCTTTCTTGCCGTCCCTCAGGCGACTCAGCGTCTTCAGGAGCAGCTCAAAGTCGAACGAGTCCGGGTGATCAAAGTCGTAACCGTTGGTCGCCGCCAGCTCATGCTGCTTATCGTCCAGGATCTTGTAGAACGAGTCCATGCTGAGTAGCGTCACCCACTGCACGTCCAGCGCCGATATGATCTTTTTGGCCACGGTCGTTTTGCCGGAGGCGGTGCCGCCGCAGACGCCGATGATGAAGGGCTCGACGAGCTGGCCGTCTGCGCCGTACCACGGCGGCCGTCCGGCCGTGTAGATGGTCCGGCGGTTGTTGCCGGGCACGCGGTACAGCGGCAGCGCGTCATCCGTCGTCTTTATCTTGCTCATCTCTGAGTAGGAGAGGGTGCGCTGGCGGGTGCGCGGCGAGCGCGGTGTGGTCGGCCGCAGCACGGCCGGCCCCTCCTTGGGCAGGGGCGAGGTGGCACCGTCCGGCCCGGCGGCCGCCTCTGGAGTCGGCTGGCCGTCGGCCGGGCCGCGAGGACACTCGTCATCACTCTCCGAGCTGGGCGAGGCCGAGCTGCGCGGACCCACGGATGCAGCGCCGTCCCGGAGCGACATGTCGCCGCCCTGCGTCTCCGGTGGCCGACTGGGGGCGGAGCGATGGGCGCCCAGCGAGCCGGCCGCCTAACGGCACCGAAACCTGAGAACCGAGCGGGACGTCTGAGCCGGCGGCTCCGGACCCGGCCGACCGAGCGCTGACCGAATGTGTTTATACAACAATAACACTCCCACTGCTAGAGGTCAGAAGAGTACGTCCGACAGTTGCGTGTGTTGCACAGGATATCAGGGGCTGAACAGGATAACTGTCTCACACACCCAGAATAAAAATGTCTGATTTAGTAACAAACCTCCATAATTTTGAATGTTGTTTAAACAATGGCCTACAAAAGAACAACAGAATGACTAAAATGCCAAACCATAGATGTTTACTTCACTGTGTTAGGTAGGAATATTTTTAATTCAGCAGTTTTAAAGATTGTTTATGGATCTAGCCTGAGCACTGTTCGGTCACTGTTTTTATCAGCATACTGTCGGTTTTCCCATATAAGGAAGTTAATTGCTGGCGTTTCTTGGCCTCTCATTGATCACATGCATGATGCAAAGACAGCAAGGAACTTCTATTTACCTATGGAGAAACTGGCAGTATGTTTATCAAAACTGACACAGTATAGTGTACAGCACTCAGGAGCCAGTGACAGATTAACTGTGTGATGTGTGTCAGATATATCAATATTGTGTCATTGAATGGATGAACTTTACAGTGAATGTTGAATAAGTATAGTGTATATCAAGAACATGAGAGCTTTAGGTGGGCAGCTGTCAGATCATAGCCATGTCGACTCATGTGATCCCAATTTTCACACTAATGCTGGTGTGTGATCACTCGCAAACACATGGATGCTTTTAAGTTCTACATTGACATGTGATGATGCACACATGTGTGGGAGCCATTGCTATAGCTTGGTTAAGTTCAGACAATATGTGCACAAAATTGGTGCACAAATTGATAATCTTGTTTTGTGCATATGTGTGTTATAAGTAATAGTGAGTGAAGAGAGCATGCACAAATTCATTTTACCTATTCATTCTAAATTCTTTTAGCAAAATGAACTGAACAAAGATAACCTTAGTACAAAAATATATCCCCTTATAACTGGGCTGTATTATTAACTGGATTATTTGCCAGCTGGCTCCGTATGGTGGCACTAGCAGAACTTGTCATACATCAATGCTACATACCTAATATCTATCTATTAATTTATCTATCAATGCCAGTATACGTATTTGAGACGCCAGTGAAAACAGGGTGCCGGAGGGCATATTTGCTCATTTGACTATCAAGAATTTCTCCCCGTCTCAACACCTTCTACACTGTGGTTGTCATGTGGTGTGTGCAAGTGAATTAATCGGCCAAGGCGCCCCGTTTTCACCGTCGTCCCGTATTTTTCCATCTCCTACCATGTTTATATCTATATGTTAATGGCAATTGTATTTTGCCAGATGATTTTATCCAGTCGTTAGTAAGGCCCTATATCTGAAAACAAAGAACCGTCTCACTCTGCGACGGTGTATCAGTATTGATTGTTCATGTCCGGTATTGGCAAGAATCAGAACGACAACGCAGCTAAGGACGAAGAAAGAGCAAAGAAAAAGCTCGTACTTACAGTGTGGGAATGAGAAATTAGCACGTGGCACTTGGCAGCCCCTAAAATAAGAACTTTCCCACAAACAATTATCACCGACGTTCTAAAAACGTGCTTCGACGTGTGCGGCGCATGGATCAGTGCGATGGAGGCGGACATATTGATTTGGTAGCGCGTAGAGGTTTTCTTCAGCAATGAAAATTTCGCTCAAAATATTTTTCGAGATAGTTTCTTGAAATGTTATCACCACTCAATCTTATAGTAACCATGAATGAATATTAACCTCTAATACATTTCGCTCAATGAGAAACAAAAAAAAAATCAAGCGACAAGATTTCTGATTGCTGATTTTTGCATCTGATCACGTTTTGGCTACGAATAATAAAGTAATCCTTCATATGGAGCTCTGCGCTGGATTTGCCTACAACTTATTACGTTGTTTGTTTCATGCATTCTCTATCGTTTGATGACGTTTCAAGATATTTGTGTTTTAAAGTCTGTTTATCTTTTAGAGGCAGTTTTTATTCTTTTTTCAGCGTCATTTTTCTATCTGATCCAAAGTTTATTGTTTTAAAGCTACATTCATATTTCATAGCAACTTTGCCGGTGCATTTTAGCAGTTTCATTGGTGGATATTCATGACGTCACAATTATAGTACCACTCCCTGTCGTATGAAATATTTTCTGTACCAGGCATTGCTGCTGTGTGTTTTGGTAATGGTGGTGTAAGTATGAGGGGATTTATTGGATTTTCGTAGGCCGTGTTTGTGGGACGGATTGCTGAATTGATACTGGTTCCGGTTCTCTTCGGCTGAAAACTATTTTGAAGCTTTTTTGTTTGTTTTTTACAAAAGGTTGGATCATCAATCATATGTGACACAAATCATATGATATGTGCTATGAATATGCAATGGCTGAACATTTACCAATTTGCCAGGCTCAAGTTGAGCATTGTAGCAAACAATACCTACCTACTAAAGCTCAAGTTTTTCTAGGTACTTGTCCTTTTTTAGATAATTTTGATTGTTCTGAGGCCAGTTTTACCAACATAAAAATAGCCGCCTGCTGGAATTTTTGCTTAAATACCGCTTCACATGCCGAGAGTAAACAGTAAAGCCCTATCCGCAAATGTGCCCAGCGTGTTAGCGCTCTGTATGTGAAGCAGTCTTAAGACAAAAAATTCTGGCAGGCGGCTATTTTTCTGTTGGTAAAACTGGCCTCTGTTTCTGTAACAGTAGGACCTCAGTTGGGGAAACTACGAGGAGCCAAACAAAAATTGGATTAGCCAATCAGGGGCTGGAGTGGGCGGGGCGATGACCATATACGGTCATAAAATCAGACAACTTCATCTTTTCAATGAATTTTAGCATTCAAATGAAAAAATAAGGCATAAGAATGTTTTTTAACCACACAAGGCCTACACTCACCCGGTGCATAATTAACTGGCGGCTCTAAATCGCAGAGTTACAACGCAAGGTCAAACCGTGATTGGCAAATATGGCGGATTGAAACAGACGCGCCAAAAAATGTAAGCAGTACCGTGGTTTAAAAATGTCATTATTTTTATTATTTTGTTTATGGTTTTTCTAATTGTAGTTAAGTTATTATTTTACAATTAAATATTTTTGTTTATTGTAATTAAATTAAATCTTTTAACAATTTTCTTTCATAAAACCAATCCATTTATTGAATGGCCAGCTGATTGTGACGCCCAGAACCTGCAGAAAAGCCGTTTTCCTATCGCCATTTTCGAGTCAATTCGCCGAATTTAATCAAATCACACCAATTCCTAGTGAAAAATGGAAGCCTTTTCTCTCTAATAAGTGGACGCGATACCGCAAGTACCGGCATGTTATACCGTTTTTCACCCTTAGTAGCGGGGGCTGCGTTTATGCCCATATATGGTCGTCCAAAGTCCATTTATTGACCAATCCATTTTTTGACATTCGCCTCGTAGTTTCCCCAACTGACCTTGTGTCATGACAAGCGATACTGTACATTATTCATGTTTTTTACATGTATCAAATTATCAATGGTATTCTGGTTTTCAATGACACCTATTTGCCTGTCTGAATATTTATTTTGGTATTGTAGCTTGAGTTTACAGAATATGAGATAAATGTTATGTTATCATTGGATAATGGGTGCATTCTATGATTGTTCCATTCCTTTTTCCCATCACAGCATTGTAAGGTGAAAAGCTGTTCTGGGGGTAGCAACTGATCAAGAGTCTTTATCAAAGACTAAAGCATATGTCTTCAGTCCCTCTCTTCTGCAAATGGTGAAGTGAAATCATGTCAGATGGCATGTCATTTGCCAACTGTTAGAAATTAATTGCATCAAAACAATAGTGTACTCAACCTGACCTTGCCTAGCAGGATAGCTACCCAGCACCTATGCTGGGTAGCCTATGTGCAAAGATAGCTTGATTTCATATTGTCCAATCCAGATTCCTGTTATCTATGCTGTGTGCCTTATACATGAAGGCTACTGCTGGTGCAATGCAAGAGCCACTTACCTTAGTCAAATAATATGTATCATATTTGACAGTGACAGGAGTCTTATCTAGTCATAATTTGTCCCCTTAGTCAATTCTTCTAGACTCATTGATGATTATGAATTACATAGGTTCTGCACCACCTTATATGAATGCACCGATTATAATAATAATTGTGCGTAGGTTCTGCACCACAAGGTGCTTGCAGTCAACAAGTACCTTGTTGACTGTATTTTGTGGTGTATAAGAATTTTGACTTTCATAGATCAGGTTACATGTTTCTAGGCTGGTTTTTGGAGCTGAATTCGAAATTAGCAGCCATTTGAACATTTACAAAGTAATATTGGTGCCTTCCTAACATGCTACGAAGCAGTCAGACGGTCATAACCCCTACTGGTTGACCTGACCTGACCTGACCCGACCTGGTCTAAATGCTGAAAGATATCATCTATTCTGTGATCAAAACTAATACAATTGTCGTGATCAGCACCCTGAAAAACCTCATAGCAGCCACGTTTTACGATTTTCTAACAGGTCCCGATTTTCCCGACTTTTGGGTCATTGACCTGACCTGGAAGGTCAACCGATGACCTAGGAGCTGAGAATTGGGTATCACCGGCTTCCTCTCATGACGGGCAACACTGTCGTTTTTTCCGCGAAGCTCTAGCTTGATCAGGGGCCAAACGCGAGAGGGGGAGGGATCGTGCCAACCCCCCTTGTGCCGTCGAAGGACGCAAAATGGTCTGCGCCGGCGATCATTAAAACTACTTTGTAGGTATTGTCAACATTTTACTGCTTCTGTTGACAATGTTGTAGGCATATCTTGTAATCCTAAAGTGAAATTGCTAAATAGCGAAAAAATGACCACCTGTTAAGTGTGGGCAAGGCCATATGCAAGTGTGCTCATATTAGTTTTAGGCATTCAAATTGAACAGCTCAAAGAAAGTCGTCTTCCCTGGCTACTGTCTCCCACATGGCTGATCTGGATGTTTGGGCGAATTCACAGAATCTGTTTTCTTTTTCATGAATATGAAATGGTTCTGGTGTTTTCTTGAAACTTGCAGCTTATTGATGATGTATTTGAGCACTAATAAGTGTATGCAGTTCTACTTTGAGAACACACAGTCCTATAATTTAATGGTTTCAATATGTTTGCAAGCCTACAAGTTTGTGAAGTTAACGTTATACACTTGCAAAGGCTGAGCTAATAATGATCAGCTTTCAAGTTGTCATAAATCATGACATTGCTTTGCTCATTACATTTTCTTTAAGGTCATAGGATGAACGGATCATGTAACCAGTTGACATTGTTGATTGTTTCATGTAAGGCCCTAATAAGAAAAACAATGCTGCCTTATTGTGTGTCAGGATATGTAAGGCAGGGCTGTATGTAGAAAGATGCACACTGTCCTCTTCAGGACTTCAGCTGCTTGTGTAACGAGTGCTGTACCAGTCAGTTTTAACAGCACAGTCTGTTCTGTATTTTGCCTCAGGTCGGCAACTGGCTGAGGTAGTCAGTGAAGGACTGAAGGTCGTACTGGCCTCCGTGTGAGGAGCCGTCCCCGCGCCGTCCGGCCTGTCTCCCTCGAACACAGCCGCCATGTCGGCTTTCTCCACGGCTGTGTTTGTCAAGAAGCTGGGCGAGCTGAACAACACGACGCCCAGCATTCAGACACTGTCGCTGTGGCTGATCCACCACCGCAAACATGCCTCCACTATCGTACAGACCTGGAAAAAGGAGGTCCTCAGAGGTGAGATCTTACCCTCGATACTACCGACTCGTATTTGACTCCTTTCTTTCTCTACGCTTTTTTGACACCATTGACACTGATATCGGCCGTTTTAGTTGTGACAGTATTGGGCCAGAACTCCAGTTTTACAGATCGCCGAGTGTTTCGCTATTTATAGCAAAGTTGTTATGCATTCTGCACATTGTGTTTAGGTCATGCAGAGCAATCTGTGACACTATTTCTGAGAGACATCACCAAATGTTTGAATAAGGGTCCTGAAACCAGAAACAGTGATTCGCCCGACCGTCACTTCGCTGCTGCCATCTCACGTGCTAACTTTCACCTCATCTCGCTAACGATTGCATCTCTCCCACCCCACAGCTCCTTCAAAGAAGAAGCTGACCATGATGTACCTGGCCAACGACGTGATCCAGAACAGCAAGAAGAAGGGCACCGAGTTTAACCTGGCGTTCGCGCCGGAGCTACCGAGCGTATACCGCCACTTGGGCGGCACATCCCTGGACGAGAAGACCGAATCGGGCGTGGTGCGACTGCTGAACGTGTGGCAGGAGCGCGGCGTGTTCACCTCCCTGCAAATCTCCGGGTTCCGGACCGCATTCGGTGAGTGGATGGGGGAAGGGAGTAGGTGGGAGAGTGGGAGGGTAGGCTGATGGGATAAGGAGGGGAGCAGCTCAGAGGTCGGGGTAGAGTTGAGAGTGGAAGGAAGATAGGTTCAGATGGGAAATGAACTGGGTTGGTACTGTGTACATATAGAGAGTCGTGAGTTGAGGGGAGTGGGAGGAGACGGGAAGGAAGGGGGTCCTGACTCTGAGTTGACGTAACTGGTGCTTTGGTTATGTTGACTGTGTGACATCAGCCGGAGTCAGAGCAGAGAAGGTGCTAAGGTAGATAAGAGTGGGTGCCGGGTGGGCACTGGTTTCACGGTGCGGGAAATTGATAAGAATAATCTTCACTGAAGATGGACAGAGAAGGGTAGACAGTGCCTGCAAAGCGGTCAATGTGCAACGGTTCGGGTTTTCCGGATTGTCATATCACTAGTAAACTAACATTGGTATCGGTCACTTGTGTTTCTTAGATAGTCTGCATGCAACCTGCCAGATTTCACAAGTTGACGTTCTGAACCTTTCAATTGTATGAAATGACGTCGTGTCTGCTGTTTGTGTCATTACAAATTCAGTGATATCACTTGTAATTTGTAAAGGATTGGAAACATTTTATTTCGTCCATGTATAGTTATTACTGAAAGATCTTTTGTTGCGAGCTTCCCCCATCGACGTCTGACCGTAGTTGCCCGTGTGTTTGTTGCAGAGACGGGCAGCAAGAGTCCATCCATGAGTCCAGCCATCAGTCCCAACATGAGTCCGGATGGCCTCTTCAAGGAGCCGCCGCCCAAGAAGAAGAAGCTGCCGGCCAAGTCGCCGCTCGCCGAGGAACCCAAGAAGCCCGAGGCCGGCGGAAAGCCCCCGGACGGACCGCCGCCTCCGCGAGAGCACGACGGCCAGAAGAGCCAGGACCAGCCCGACCAGAAGAAGCACCACGAGCACAAGAAACACCACGAGGAGAGGAAGCGACACGAGGAGCGCCGGAAATCCTCCGAGGAACGGCGCAAGTCCTCCGAGGACCGCAAGAAACCCGAGGTTAAGGTGAGTCGATGAGATTCAGCGAACGGGGAGTAGTCATCACGACTTATTTATTTCGTTTTTTTTTCAGATCGTTTTCATGGCTCCATTACTGAACACTGGCTTTGAATGGAAAACTGCAGACGTGTTGAGACTCCGCTGCGCTGAGTCAATTGACTAATTAGCCGTTCATCTGTCCCCGACCACAGGAGGTGGAGGTGGAGGGTCACAAGGAGGTGCACGTGATGCTGTCGCCCCACTCGCCGGTCCGAGACCCGCCCGAGCCCTCCGAGCTCATCACCGCACTGCAGGTCGGTCGGTGAGGCGAGAGTGGGCATAGGTTAGTTCAACACAGTTAGATCCTGGGATGGTCAGCGGGTCAGCGACAGTGTACTAGCTCCGTTCGTTATCAGCCCATTGTTTGGTCGGTGGGCGGGATATGGACATTAGGGACAGTTGGGGCTGAATCAGAATATTTCGGCATTCAGGAAATCACATGTGAGACGTTATTAAAATACATTATATATAATGTATTTTAATAACGTCTCACATGTGATTGATGAGCGTGATATATCACGCTCACATCAATCGCTGACACGGAGTTGCGTGCTATTGATGAGTCTGGATAGTCTGAACTGCCAGATCAGCTAAGCTCTTAGCCCAGTATATCAGGGGGTTGTGTGACATTGACACTTCTGTGCTGTGGCTGACAGGACCTGGAGAACTCGGCCTCGTCAGATGCTGCCACCCGTGAGAAGATCTCCAGCCTGCCCCCGGAGGTGTCCGACACTAATTTACTCGCCAGACTACAGGGTGAGTCATCTGGCCAGTCCCCCTACCCCGCCTACAGAAGTTTGGGATCGTTATAGGCTCCAGTCCGATTTCCAGGCTACAGGGCGAGTTTGTCGCTTATGAAAAGAACCTGTAGTAGAAGTATAGTTTTTGGGCAGCATTCAGAAAGCACGGCATGTGTTTTTATCACGTTGCTTAGAAAGAGATAACTAAAAACGCATCGTCTACTCTAGTTGCTCTCTGTAAGTGCCGCAACTTATGTGCAACGTATCGTGCGTCTTAGCCCAACTAGTTAGTGTCTGGACTGCCCTCAAATCCAACTCCTTGGCTCGCGCTCTGCCCTCCTTCCGCCTCTCCTCGTGTGTGACCTGCCCGTGTCGTCCACAGACCGTACGTCCGGACAGCGGCTGCTGGCGCAGGTCACCGAGGCCGTCGACATGCTGACCGACTACAACGGACGCCTGGCCGGTGAGATGGATGAGCGGAAACGGGTCACACGACTGCTGCAGGACTTCACGCAGAGCCAGAAGGACCTGCTCGCCCAGGCCGAGCGCACGCTCGAGGTCAGTCGGAGATTTGCCCTTTTAAAATGTAGAAAACGCCTGTTCATCATAAAATGTAATTGAGAAGCTTTCGAACCATTGATAGACTGTAAATTTATACAAATTTGGACTCGAATTTAAAGAAATATTTTGGTTTTCCTCCAGAAAAGAATGGTAATTTGAAATATGTTATATGCGCCCCTAGCAAAATATCGGTGCATTCCGCCCACCTCAACTTCCCTTCTCTCTTCCCCTCAGGAGTACCGGGAAAAACTGCAGAAGGTCTACTTGGTGCGCGAGGAGCTCAAGTCGCACATCCAAAACCTGCCCGACATCAGCAAACTGCCCAATGTTACCGGCGGCTTCGCGCCGCTGCCATCTGCCGGCGATTTATTCAGTTAGTAGTGCGCTCCGTCGCCGCCACCAGCCGATAGCGCTGGTGTTGCAATGGAGCCCACGCATCGCCTGAGCGTGATTTTATGCGGAACGCGCTGCTCTGCGAGAGGATCTCGATCTGCCGGTGGTATGCAGAGCACACGATCGGCACGGTCATCAATGGGTGCCTGATCTTTCAGCGGGACCGGCGCGCACATATTGTGGGGGCCGGCCCGGCCGCTGTCCGCGCAAATCCGCTGCTGGGCGCTGGTGCAGTGCTGGGCGCCGCTACTGTAGTGCTGACATGGTGCTGGGCGCCGCTACACTGCGCTGGACCGGCTGTTAGCGCTGGTAAAATGCACCAGCACTGCAGCCCGACACGCGAGCAGATGATCGAGCCGGATTGTGTGCAAGTGTACCCACGCGTGCATGTGTGTGTGTGTGGTGTATGTGCGAATGAGAGCACGCAGCGTCTGAATGCGCGTCGTGCAGCCATTGTTATCCTGGTCAGTCCCTGCCTGCGCGTCGCGGTCACTCGTGTTACCGGTCACCATATGCATACGACTCGGCCCGGTCACGTGATGTGTGCCGGCGTGCACTGGGCCGGTCACGTGATTGGCGGTTTTCGTTTTGCTATTGACTAATGTGGCGTGTTGAGTGGAGTTCTGTTACCTGTAATACTGTGTTGGATGGAGAGGGGAGGGGGATCCGTGACGGCAGCACTGCTCACTGCCAGCAGGGAGGGGGAGGCGCGGAAAAGTCGCTGGTGGGCGGTGATTTAAATGATGTGGACAGCATTCAATGAGCTGAGCGATCCCGCGCAAATGGATCGGTCTTGACACTGCTTGACAGATGCTGGACGAAACCGTGGGACGAGGCGGAAAGTCCCGGCTAAGTGGCCATTCTGAGGCATTCATCGAGGCTTACCTTTTTGCCTAGTGAGCGCAATCGACTGGGACGGTCCCCGCGCCTGGCTTTCTGTCGAGTGAGTTCATACGCACTGGGTGAATCGAGCATCACCCTTGTATTCATAATTCATATTGTATCTGATGCGTGGAGGCTGTTTGGCCGAGTGACGTCATACGCTGACGTCAGCGGCCGCTGAGCGATGACGTCATGTGTGTTGTGTGTGTGATGTCACCGCCGACTGCCATCGAGGACCTGTTCACGTTCGCTGTTTAGCCGGGACTGGATGCAGTTCTCCTGCGACTCCGTCGCCAGAGCTGGAATACAAACAGCAGTGGCTGCCCCGTCCCGACCTTTGCGAGGGTTCGGTGTCGTACAGCCCACCGCTAAAGTAATGTAGGGTTTTACCAATCTCAACGGTTGGCTTTGACTGGCGATTGTTTAATGCGGAGTGATCGAAGAGAAGATGTCAATAGCTTAAGTTGCAGCTGCAAGGGTGACGATACATATAAGCTACATTCAAAGTTTCATTGTAGTCTGGTTAATCGTTTCTAAGCTTCAGAAGCAGAACATAGCCATGACTGAAACCCCACATTACTTCTGCTGTGGACTGTACCTGCGCTATGTGACGTAAATGAGTCTCACTTGATGGTTCAGCCTAATGCATTCGGCTTGTGAAAGAAACCGAGAAGTATGAGCTTGAACAATAATTGCAATATTACGTAATGTACAATCATGCTCTTCATCATGTGGTGATTAAATTATGACCGGCTTCAGGCCATTTCCATCAGTTTGCGAGTTCGTGACTGTCCCGGTTGCCCTGGTAACCACATCACTCGCGCCGATGGTTTCCGGAGGTTGCGCTCTGGCCAGACGTACCCCAGTTGATGGTTAATGCCGTCGAGTCGCTAGGCCAGAAAAACCCGACAGACAGGGCAGGGTTATGGAGTGCAGTGAGTTAACCCCGCATCCTGAGTCATCGACGCATCATACCATGGTCCATCAAAATGCAGTCGCACCAAGTGTCGTCGGATAACACCCACAGGTCAGCGAGCTAATACCGAACACAAAAACGCACCAGGGTCGGTCAGCCCATCCGAGTCCGGTTCTGACCGCCGTGTTACGTCGGCCGCTCCAGCGGCAGTAGAGACCCACCGGCCGTCTGTCGTGTATTGGCCGCTGACGTTCGGTCCTCTGTCACGTCCGAACACCACAGTCACAGGTGCAGACGTCACAGTCACAGGTGAGGGCGTCACGGCCGCCGCCGCCGGCCGGTCCCCTATGGAGCAGACTCGCCGCGGGGGGTGCGGCGCCCAGATAGGCAGCGCACACAATCACAACAGCCACTCGACAAACAGCGAACGGAAAGGAATTAACCTATCCAAAGTCAGGGCTATCGTTTTCAAGGGCTCGCGGAGACACAAGTCAGTTCACAGAGTAAATTCACAGCGGTATGGCCTCTATGTAATGCTCACAAGTGCGGAGTCGCCGGGGCATTCGTTCAGCCGCCGGTGACCTTTTGGTCCGATAACTGCCCTGGTAACAACCTGTCCGAGACGGGGATCGAATGTACCAAAAACACATTGCAGAAAAGGATGCATAATCCCTTAGACTTCGGGGAAGTCACAGGCTCTAGGAAAACAAAGTAAGGGCAAGTGACAGTGGCCTGAGTAGACGTGGGCTGGAGGGAAGATCTGGCATCAGGTAATCATGCACTCTCGGGCTATGGCACAACCGGCCTCCGGGTTGGAGTCGGGTATATTACAGAACTGGAAGGGAGAGCGGACGGGGCGGGACCCGGCCGACGGCGCGCCCCACCACGCGGCCACCACAATCAACATCGACACGACGCGACGGCTACCACAACAGCGAGCGGCTCGGGCGCGCCGCTCACAAAAATAGCTCCTCTGTGCGGCGCGGCGCGGCGCCGCCGGCGACTGACTAGAATCGGCGGCCCGGCGCCGCCGCCGCCATGGCACCGGGGCCGCTCCGCGCCGCCACGGGCGCGCGCCTCCAGTCCTCGGCGCCGGCAGTGGTAAAAGCCCGGCCGGCGGCCCTCTGAAGCGGCCCGTTTGAGCCCTGCGCGGCCGGCGCTCGGCCGCTCCACTCGCCGTTATTGCCCTGTACAAAATAGTCTGTTGCGTTGTGACGTTACACGAGTCACAGTCGCGCCGCCGAAGCAGTGTATCACATCCAAGACGGCCGGCCGCCAGCACCTCCGGTTGGGAGAAAGCTCCGGTCCCGCCACGGCGCATCGCTTTGGCTCCAGCACGGCTGATCACCGCCGAACAAGGAACAATGCCAGTCAGAAAATTCAACAGCGCTGATAGAATTTCAACGGCGCCTCACGGCAATGTCGTCCCGGCGTATCTTCGGCTCAAAACAGTCACCGAGCCGGCTTAAAACGATTCACGTCACTGACGGAACAAACCAACAATGCCGTCACAGCTCAATCCAGCTCCCGACTTCCCACACGATCACCGTTCACACAATGCCACTGTGGCCTCACAGGCCCGCCCACAGCGAGCTACAAAACAGCCGCGACGCGCGCGTCCCATGGGGCGAGCCACTGTATCGCACTGGGCCCGGCACCAAGCCGAAGGTCGCGGGTTCGATCCCCGTCGGCCGCGAGCCTGTGACCAGCGTCGTATGGCTGCCGGTCAGTCGCCAGGGTGTTCCGGGCAGGTCCGGTTCACTTGGAACCACTCGTCGATGCAACTGAGGACAAAAGAGAATGGTTGGGATTAAATCATGTAAACACATGGCTATTGCGAGGTAGCGGAACGCTGGAATGATACACTATCAGAGGAGCACAGACACTCTCACATGTCAGACTGTCATTTTTTGTACGAAATCCCTCCACGACCAATCACAAGAAGCTGAAACCGAGAAACACTGATAATGTTTACATTGGCAAGCCGAACACTCGTCCGTCGTTTTGTCTGTCTGTCCTCCTCCCTTGTTTACTTCCCGGTAGATCCGTCGCGCGCGCGGCATTATATAATTCCACCTGCCAACATCAACAGACGTTCATTATTTGTGAGCCCCTTCAAAGTCCGTCTGCAACTGAGACATAATCACCGACTTCATCACGGACACACGGGCGGCTGCCAGTGACGAGCGAACAGTCTGAGAGCTCCGCGGTCCGTCGGTAACTGTTCGTGGAACCGGGCGATACCGCAGTGCGGGCCGACAGGCCGGGGAGGGGTGAGCGACGCGCCGGGGCCCACCGCGAGCGGGCTCAATACGCCTGGTTAACGGTACGACCGACCCCGTCACGCTATGGCGGGGAGAAGGCGACCGTCGACGCTCCCAGGGATCGCTGAAAGTTGGGAACGATATGGCAGTCGACAGAGGTGCAAACTTGGACCATGGTGGGGTCAGGGAAAACAGCAACAGCAGCGGCCGGACAACGGGAAGATGGAACAACGGACAAGACAAGGGACGGTGCACCCATCGCTGGTTCACACGGCATTCATTAATCATGAGGCACGAAGTACACGTGAAATATTGAGTGCAGCGGAACATGTGGTAGGCATACTGTGAATACGCCATTCCAACACAGACACGCACTGTGATGGGCATCACATTGACATCACAGTGCAGTGACGCGATAGCAAGTCTGTGAAATACATAAACAATCACATTTGATATATACGTCAACAATATGCCACTTCATCGGAAAACAAAGCATGCAGTCACAACAAACTTCGCTTCATACGCACTCGCATATCCGTCTGAACAACAAACTTCACCTCTCGTCGACTGCTAGGAGTAACGGGTAACGCCTTCAATCGTCACAAAATCTCTGGTCGGCGACCACGCCACACGTGCACCGTTCTAATCCCCTACAAAGCCCGCGGCAAGTCTGAATGTAGTGTCAGCACATTGCCCTAGTCGGGGTAATCTATCCTCGGGCGGCTCAGCAGACGACCTAATCCCTTCAGTTGCCTCTAGGGCCATACGGCGCCGGGCGGCGGCGCGGGTCAGCCGTCGGGTCTACTCGGAATACCCTGACGTGTCCTGATCCTGACGTCCGCTGCGGATCGGAAGCGGCGAGCTCTGTAGTCACTGCGTTCGGTGGTTGCCATGCCAACGGCGGCAAGTCTGCTATTCCATGGACAAACCGACGCAGCCGATACGGGATGGCTCACTTCCCTGGGCATGCCGATGCGACAGACATGGGATTGGGTATGGCCCGCCCCCTGAGCATACCAACGCGCCTGCCACAGCTACAGCTCACTCCCGTGGGCTATGGACAAATAGACGCGACAGGGCCTTTCTCCAAATCCCTATCATATCGAACATAACGCTAACAATAGCGAAATACCTATCTCGAGTAAGGCTAGCTCCCACTGACACACGGATGAATCAGCCACGAGTATGGTTCGCTGTCTGAGACACATTCACGAGCTGGCTCGCCCTGAAGGCAGAGGCCAGACCTAGTGGCGTGGCGTCGCCTCAACGGCAGAACCAGGCAGTGTGGCAGATAAACAAAGGCTGCATTGGGTAACACGCTGTGCATGCAAACTGCACACGACTATGGGCCTCAGCTGGCTGCTGAACTTTCAATAACCAGCACAATTCGTCCCAGTCCAGGAAATGAGATCATTTGTCCTTCTAGCGGTGCTAATTAGCTATGAAAATGAGTACAGACATAGCTAGTGTTAATAAGAACAATCAATCTAAAAAGGCGCAGCTATTCCACTGGTCATGACATCCACTGGCTACGACGTAGTTCTCTCGAAAAAAAATTGCATGCATTACCATGCCAAACGTTGCCGTACGTTGACATCTGACCAAACATTCACCACAGAGCATTAGAATAGCACCAATCACCAGGACCCAGTGGCTACTTCAGGTGGGTTTATCAATGCTCCTCAACCGCCATCATAAACTACCGATAGCCCGCTGTCATTGACGGGACTTGAGCCACCGCAGTTCAATCACAACACTTCGACCTTTTGATTCCTCGCCGTCCCACATTGCGCAATATTGAACGTATTCGCCCTGTTGAATGATGAATGAGCTCAGTCGCTTCGGTATGCTGCGGGGCGGGTGTCAATACAACGCAATATATAACAACGCAGCGCGTGACATCATTCGAGGTAACATGAGCAGCGTGACGTTGTAAACTATAGCGTCACCAGCTGTGACGTGTCGGCAGCTCCGATAGTAACACGTTACTGCGTGGTGCGGCAAGGAAGCATGAGGAGGTTGTGGCGGCAAGGAAATACATGTCAATTGAGAGGAACGGTCCGAGGCGAATGGCGATGGTGGTTGGACCAGTGGAATCATAAAACGGATTCACGCTGGGTCCACGTCTGAGACGGCAAGAAAACACGGGTTATGACTAGTGGCATAGGATTTATAAAGAATGGACGAATACACGGGGTATGACTAGCGGCCTAGGATTTATGAAGCAACACGCTGGACACAAGGACTTGGGTTGGTGGGAGGAGTGCTTCCCCTTGAGGTAGACACAGAGGCGATACGAGAGCATAAGACAATGAACCGATGGGCACTACCGCCACTACCTCTTGTGATAGATGGCATGCAGATGTGAGGCATGAGCACCCAGCAAAAGGCAGTCACACAGGCCGCTAGGATAAGTCGGCTGGAGGGGTATTACCTCTTATGATAGATGCAGAGGCAGGGGAGCCGGGCGATCACGTGACCCTGCTCGAGCACCTCCAGGCAGATGACGCACTCGCCCTTCTCCTCGGTAAGCACGTCCTCTGTCGGAGAAAAAAACAAACAAACAAACAAAGGGTCAATAATGTAGACTTGGGGTAGACGAGTGAGAATGGACGAATACGGGGCCAGTACGCATAAGGAAAGGTCACCAGGGCGAGTGGGGACAAACGAGTGAGATAGATAGAGGCGTGCGACTGGTCAATGTGTGGCCAGTGGTACTTGAGCAGGTAGACTGATCAGAACTATCAATAACTGGTGTGCACACTGCACAGTCACACGAACTGACATTCATCATCGGCATTTGCATACACACGGATATAAAAGATTTAAGCTATGTACACATGGAAAGGATCATAGAATGTGGGAGGGTAGAAGGAAAGCCAGCCACCGGCCACCGCTTACTTGTGCCAAGGAGCGGGCAGCGATAGGCAGTTGAGCACGTCAGCTGAAAAGCACAAGTCACGATGACTGAGCTATAAAATGCTCAGTTAGATGCGCAACCGATCCAGTGACGACCACCAGAAAAGAGTAGGCTAAGTATGGATCGGACAGTGAGTAGGGTCTCTTCCAGCAGGCGCAGGGTAGAAAGAGCAAGTGGTCAATTTGTTTATTTCACTACCACTTGACTAAAATGTCATTAAACTATGGACACAAGACGACTTTTACATATATGTACTGCTAACTAATTGACAATTACATTAGCTTATCACTTATATCTTGAATCTTATGATGGATGAGGGCTCAAATTATCTTGCTTTTATTAAAAGACCGAACAGATCAGACATTGTGACCGTCAGATAACAATGTGCCCACAATTATGTAACACGACCTCACGAATTACGTAAGTAGAACCCCATGGAAGAACGAAGTCCGATAACCATCCGATTTCCTACAGTTTTAACATCCTTACCGAGCTACTATGTAAGTTACAAAGAATGCTGGTTATCAATATAAAATGCAACATAAACGCTGTCGATATATTGAAGTTTGCTAGTCAATTTTGTTCATGTGGTCGCCAAAGAGTGTGTCATATTCGAGGCTAGAGGATAGTACCCATCGGCCGACGGCCATCACATTTCAGCAATCTTTAGTCACATTTGTTAAATTATCGCGCCTATCACCGCCAATAGGGTACCTACGATTTCACGGCCACACAATTTCGCAACATCTAAAATGAGCTCTTTACAGCATCATCCATTCATAGGTTTATCGAAGGGAAATGGATCACATTCCAAAGGCAATCGAAGCTACCAAGTACCATCTTCAGTTATTACATAGAGATAAGCATTTAAATCGGGCACATGAAACGCCCGGGAAGACAACCATACATTTAAGATATAGCGGTCTCCATTATATTTATGACTTCTGCCTGCCAAAGCACATCTATTCTGCCTGTCCAGGCACACACATATTCTCCGGAACCGTTTATAGCACATCCACGGCTCGACAAAAGAACGAATGAGATCCATTATTGCTGTCTTTGTCGCTATGTGGCTGGTTCGCCGAACTGGCGTGTTGTGTTTTTCTACACTGATTTCTGGAGCAACCCGACAGTGTGCCACCTATCACGCGTCGCCCTTGTTCCCGTACTTGTGCCGCCCTGTGTGTGCGGGGGAGGGGAGGGGAGGGGAGGGGGACATTCCGCTGCGGGTGCCGGCCGGGTCGATATGCGCCGGTGGCGGCTCGAAGCTCAATACGACCGTGTGTGCGGGGATGGAGAGCTGGGATAGCACAAGGTCGCGGCACGGGCACCGCGCTTACGCAGCGCTGCCGCTGACAGGTGTAATGGCCGCACTTTGTTCCCATAATCGGCTTATTACTAGGACTGCAGGCATTCGTAGTCTTTGGTAACAGTCAACAGGTCTGAGACGGTTGTCTGGTCATGTTTGTTATTCAAGCCATCCTAGGATCTCGTCTCACGAGGAACCTCAATAAATGGTTACCTTCTTTCGTTCAGAACAATGTAACAGCGCGTATATATCTCGGAAATTGCGTACCCATCTATTCCAAATCCAATGTATTAGTTGGGTTTTGAGCTAGAAAGCGGTTAAAAAATGGGTGGCTCCCCAAATATCTGACCTATCGGTTTCAGCTCATACTGGACACTGGTCAGATGACATAGCTCAATTGGAAATATGCTTCAGTGTTTTCAGCTTGTCTCGCATTATGCAGCTGTGGCTGTGCATCGCACAGATTGAGAATAATCCATATTCTTCACTTCATCTCATCGACTTCATTTCACCGCTTTCTGGACCATTGCATATTATTCAATGTCCACTGGTCGTCTATCTTGATCACTCCGTCCAACGGGTGACGTCAAAACATCTCGAAAGATCAAGGAGGCCCTGATAAAGGTGTTGCAACACTTTGCGGCGAGCAGTCGGCCGCACATTGCATCTTCAGTAGCTTGGCGCTTTATATAACACGTGGAATCCGTGGATATACGAGGTGGTTACTTAATTCACCGCAGATGGTAGCAACTCGCAGCTTAAGTAAGCAGCCCGTAAATCTCGCATGCTTCCATGTAATTGCTTGATGGTTAGGTATATGCGAGGAAAGGCTAATGCATTCAAAATCAAATATTCAGGAACATTTTCCCGCTAAATATCAGACGTACTGTGCATCAGGCCAGCGTTTAGTGTGGCAAATCCGATTCAATAACACCACTTATCAGTGTAAATATACTATTCAATTATTGCTATCACCGGATCAACGGTGCGACGCGGGCGTCTATCATAACAGGTCTTCGCTGGCAACGAAAGGAAGAATCTGTTAGGAGATAGACTTGCAATCAAACCATCCCCACCGCACCGGAGCGGACCTACCGGGGCGCAACAACCGTCTGTCTGACCGTCGCAAAGTCTGTTGACTGTCTGTCCGTCCCTTAGAGATAGGATTGCGACTTTCAGGCCATTTCAGGCCACTGAGGGTCAGTGTGGACTCTCAGAAGCCTGCTTAGGATCCCGGAGATCGGCGTGGGTCACCCCAAATATTTACGTGTATGTGGTGCTTTAGGGCTTTCCGAGCCTAAGGTGGTCCCGGAAAGCCCTTTAGGGCACACGAGCTTTCAGAAGCCAGTGTGGGCGGCGGGCGCTAAGAGACTATGCCCAGGTTGAGCCTGGAGCCCTCGAATAACAGTGTGAACCGTCGGGGTCTGTGTCGAATCCTTAAGGACCCTACGTTGTTAGGGACATAAGAAACATGTGTTGCGGCCCTCAGAGGGACACGTGAGTTGTGACCCCTCAGATGCCGGGTTGGGGTTTAGTAAAGTCTGTCGCCTCAAAAGTTCGGCTGAACTATCATAGGCCAGTTGAGGTTTTCAGAAATTTTCGAAGGCATCCTCAAAGATTCGTGTGGCCCTTCAGAGGTCTACGTATGTATTATGTCCTCAAAGATCCCTGTATGGGCCCTCTAGAGAACATGGACACCAGTGGGACTCTCAGAGGCCGGTTTGGGCCCTCCGAAAGCTTCTTAGAGCTCAGTGGAGCTCCTTAGGAGCCTGTGTGAAAAGCAGGCTCATGAGCCCTGCGGCACTTGAACGGTACTTGTGCCTGTCGCAGACATTTGACGAGAGTTGAGAAAGGCCCCGAAGATTTCGTGTCACGCTTTGAACGAAAATTATGTGTCAGCACTCCAAAATTTATGAAAATCAGCTACAAAATGTAATACAGAACCAACTAGGAACATGGCATGAATCATGGCATTGACATTTCCGAGTCTGGAGTCGGAGTCTTGAAGATTTTGGCGACTGCGACTCTGACTTTGGTTTGAACTGCATGCTCCAACAGAGTCTGACCTCACAGGCATTCTCAGAAAGGTACCCCCATTTTTCCCCGACTCCAAAATCTCATCGGATCTGTATCGATCTCAGGGGGTGCCCGGTCCGAGGTTGGGGGGGCAAGCTGCCCCGCTTGCCCCCCCGTGGCGACGCTAATGGTCTGTCGTCTGTCCGTAGGCTAATTTTCGCAGTCAGACGCCTGTTTAGTGTTTATCGCAAGGTCTGTCGCCGTCTGCAGTGTGCAAGTTGACTGTTGTCTCGGGCTAGATAGTCTGTCAATACGCTGCCTGTCGTAGTCTGCCAATCGCCCTTGGCAGTCTGTCCTGTCGGCTCTCTGGAGTCTGTCAGCTCTGGCTGTCGGTTGTCTGTCGTAGTCTGTTGGCTGATTGTCGCAGAGTATGTCGGCTGACTGTCCTCTCTCGCAGAATCCACAGCGGTCCGCCGCAGCTCGTCAGCTCCCTGTCGGCTATCTGTGCTCTGTCGACTGATAATAATTGGCCGGTGGGTACGGCCGTACCGAGACCGACGCGACACCCGCGTCGCGGATGTATTGAGCGGCACAGCGTACATCGACCGGTCGAGTCGCACTGGCGAGCGGCGCCACTGACAGCGCCCTCAGTGCGCTGTGCTCGCCGCTCGGGCGCCCTCAGTGCGTTACGCTCGCTGCTCGGGCACTCACAGTAGGTAGGCAGGCACGCTGGGCACGCTGGGCACGCTATGCTCGCCGCTCGGGCACTCAGATTGGTAGGCACTAGGCACGCTATATTCGCCGTTTGGGCACTCACATGCTACTGATCATCAGATTGGTGTCTCTGGCCGACACTGCGAGGCTGGGGTAGGTCGCGCAATCCTCTGTTGCGTCGACTCCGACCCTGTGGTATTTTGTATAGCATACAGCAGTCAGGTTGTGTTTTAAGCGTGAAATAACGTATCGGTTCCAGAATGACAACTGATGAAACCGCTTCACAAAGGTCTAGCTGGAGCGATCAGGGTATTTGAGGGACTTCTTTCCACAGCCGTGCGAATAAGTGAAGCAGATTGAAACGGACGCGGGGTTCCTCTGTCCTGTCCGGCTTAGTCGATGCGACGCTTGTCAGGCTTCGTCGGACGAGACGGCGAACAAATTTGCTGCCCGGGTAACATCACCACAAAAACGTTACTGACGGCGAGCATTAGACGTTGATAAGTATTGATAGATAAATGGACAAAGACAGCCGGGATGTGCCGATAGCATTTAAGCAGCCAGGGAAAACGGAATAGCAT